CCAGCTTACAATTCATATTTTGATTGTTGACTTAACATTTGGTATTGGCTTATGAGTCACAAGACTTTACATATCACTATTTTGATAGTTACAGGAAAGTAAACTGAGTTGAAATTCTGCTTGTAATCAGGTTATGGTTTTTTTTGCTTGGATCAATTATTGGTAGTACTGCCCAAGACTCCAATAACTGTGATAGCATGTGGGCAAATGGAGATTTAATTAAAACGACTTTTTCAAAATAGTCTTTATTTTCACGTGATGTCAGTAAACTGACTTTGGTTACGAGTATTCCAAACATCGTGTAGACCTCTCTGAACATAATGTACTCCTAAAATGTATTTACTTGCATAAAAATGGTGGGTGTGTTTCACAAACTTTAGTAATAAGTAAGGTATCATTAATGATCAAGGAAAAGTTGAAACAACCTCAGTAGCCGTTTCAAATTTGTATGAGGGATTAATCGACGCATAGTAAATAATACTACATTTACATCTTCAGTGTTGAACAAAATCTATCAAGGAATTAAGAAATAATCATCAAAATATGAGACGTATTAATAATGCGAATTAGAATGTTTTAGCGGACCAGCCAAAAATATGACTTGGGTGTCCTATTTTTAGCACTTAGCAGTAAGGTGAATCCAGAACATTGATGAGACTAATTCTCAATCAAAGTTGTCAGTACACACTGTGTATTACTATAGACTCAGTGGATATCGTTAAGCTAGTTATAAGGTGTCTGACATGTGTTAAGAGAAATGATTTAGTTATAATTCTCCTTCTTGATGTAAGCCATCTTGTGCTCACGTCAGAGTTAATACTCTAGAGTATCCCAATCACTACCCTCAAGAATCTGGAAAACCCATACTTTTATAATGAGGTTAAGACTTGGACAAAGTTTTTAAGTTGAAATTACTGTGAGCGAATTCAGATTATTGAGAATTTATCTACTTATTGAGAGAGATGTAGACGCCATTGCAAAATACAGGGATATTAAAGTAAAATTTAAGCAGTAAACACTGGTCAAATTATCCCCAGGTAATAATTTTAAATAGATTAATTTATGTAACTCAGTTACCGATTACAGGTTTATTGGCTGGTCTTTCCGTCACTGTTTCGGAGTTAAGGATTAATGATACCATCTCGTTGGCCAAACTAAAGTCAATCATTTAGCTACAACGTGGGACCAGGCACATATATGCGTTGCTCCAAGTTGCCACACCTCATTAACACAACAAGATGAACACTAAATTCATAGAAGCAATTATTCAATAATAATAATATATAAAAAAGATTGTATAAAAGGATATGATACAGAGAGGAAGAATTAGTTACTAGAAAGAAAATGTATGAAGTAATTTTATTCTCATGGTTTAAGAGAAGACAAAAGGTGTATGCACCTACGCCATTGTGATCGATTCTGAGCCATGTCACTGAGAGTCTCCAAACATTGGTTACGATAGTCAAGCGCACCCCAACCACGTAGTCTGCATCTATCAACATGGCTCAGACTAGAAGTTAGTGACTTTATGAATTGATGCCACATTTTGGTTTGGCCACCCCTAACTTTCTTCCATCCGTCTCCAACACTAATCAGCATTGCGCTCCGTGATAGTCTGTACTTGGGCATCTGTGGTCAAATATTAGTAGCTTACGAGTATCCTCTACTCTTAATGGCCACGTTTCGCAGTCATAAAGTAGAACAGGACGAACTCCTGTGCAGTATACTCTGCCCTTGATTGGTAAACAGATATATCACCTTCGCTATAGGTGATGTAAGTTGGCAAAAGTCAAACGAGCTTTCTGAATCCGTGCAGAGATTTCGTCACACACCAACTCATTAAGGCTGACCAGACTTCCAAGATAAGTGAAGTTGTCGACGCGTTCGACTACTTCACTCCTTATCCTTAGTTCAGGTGTTCACTCAGCCCAGTCCTGAAGCAACAATTTACATTTAGAGAAAAAGAAACGTATCCCAAACATCTTGGCACTGTTGCTCAATGCTACCAAAAGACTGCATTTTATCAGCGTCATCACCAAACACGAATATTTCATATGTGTATTCCAAGTCAATAAATGGACCTCCTGGTAGGGGACCGATTCTCGAAAATTCAGTCGACGAGAACGTCATTTCCAGCAGTAGGTCTATGATGAAATCGAACAAAAATGGAGATAGTGGGCCAGCCTAGTTTTCTCGTGTTTGCAGTTCACGAGTCTTTGTTAGGCACCCGATAGTTATTGATGCTAGTATTTTAGACGCTATATTAGTTAAACTTATCCCTCTACAGTCATCACAGGAAGATTTTGATCCTTTCTTATATGTTGGGACGATCAGTGGTTGGTACCAGTTAGATGGGATTACATCCAGATCTCAGATTCTAGCTAAAATATTAGTCAAACCAATCGCTAAAACTGGACCACCATACTTAAAGACTTCTACAGCTAATCCATCTGGACCGGCTGCTCTTCCTCGTTTCAGATTACCTATAGCACTTTGGGGACTTCAATTAGAGTCGAGGGGTCCATTTCAATGTTCCATTCAGACTGTTTGGGAATGATGGGTAGTTGTATAGTAGCTGAACTGATCCTTAAAGTGCTCCGCCCATCGTTCTAAACGTCTAGACTGAGAGCAGCGAAGAGTGCCATTTGTTTCCTGGATTGCTTCACATTTAAATTCTTAATTCCGGTTTCTTTTATTAGTCTGAAAAGCTATCTTGTGTTACCTACAGCCGCTACCTTTTCCATCTCTTTTGCTTTCGTTGCCAACTACTGCTCACGATCGTTACGTAGACTTTTGGTTAACCTAAATTTGATTTGCTTACACTCTTCATCTTGGTTCATAGCCTGATAGGATGAGTTTACGAGAATCTATCAGTGCAATAGACTTAATAGAAATCCACTGATTTTTCGTAACCCTTTGGTTTAAATCACTAATAGATGTCGCTGCTGTTTACACAGCTGTTTGTATATCTTTCCAAGCAACATCTGGGTCAGCCTTGTTTTTAGAACTACTCAAGTGTGATCTCAGTTGTTCCTGGAATATACTTTTGGCTTTCTCGTCACTGAGTTCAACTCTAATGGGTCTTCTTAACGTGGTTTATCTGCGTGTAGTGAGGTGAAAGCAAATGCGTGGTAGTATTAGAGCATGATCGAAGTCCAAGCAGGCATTTCAGAACGAGAGACAGCCTTCCATCGAGCTTCTCCAATATGGTCTATTTGAGTCCATCGTTAGTTTGGTGCAGGGGGTCGTCATGTTAGACGATGTTTGTTGAAAGTAAACGATTATCTGGGCACAGCTGCAGCAGACGATCACCATTATCTGTTCTCTGAGCCAGATTACTAAGATACCCATCCAAATATCTTTCTGTTTAGTTTAAGCTACCTACTTGGTCATTAAAGTCACATGCTATGAGCACTATGTCTGATCGTTTAGTTTTATGAAGCAGTTCAGAGAGCTTTCTGTAAAAGTCATATTTCACTTCATCCAGGCTTCAGTAAATGGGAGCGTAGGCAGAAACGACGAAAAGGCAACGACGTGTGTCCTATTCTTCCGGATTCTTACAAAGCAGTTTAGCCGAACAGCACATAGGTGACTCTTAACAGAAATCCATTCTAATAGTGTTTTTTCAACCCTCGTACTTAGTGCCACGCGTACACATGACAGTCCAGATACACGGAGGGTTTGTCTCATCGGCTATCCGTTTTGACCAGGTTGGATCAAGTAAATGACCAGCACACACTAACGGTACGAGATTTTAGGGTCTTAGTCAAGGAGACCTACTGGCCGATTTGACATAGGGTTTGTACTTTGAAGGCTCTAATGTGTAGTTTAGAGAGAAGTTTCAGTAGGCCTGGAACAGTATTTTGTGCGCTAGAATCATTGGCCATGATGACACTTGAGGAGGAAGTTAATAGAGGAGGCTTAGAGTTGGAAGCCCATGTAGGGGGAATAATAGGAAGTGAAGAGGGAGACTGATTATGAATACAGTGATCTTGAGTGCTGTTAGAGGTATAAGGACGGTTATCTTTTCCCGGTTGCCCACACCGTGGAAGGGTTCTTGTAGAGGTACCTGTAAAGATGATTAGTGGTGGTCTTAGTAACCTGAGGGCGTGACCGCAGTGCTCAAGGGACAACTGCTTGAGACCGGTCACGTACGACCTTTTAGTGGGGAATTTTTGTGTGAGCTCCATACTTATTGGAACCTTACCGCCGGAGACGGATATTCGTGGGATAAGGTCGACCTTTCCTGACCCCACCCTTCCTTTGTGGGAAGGCAGAATCGCTGTTATGCTGATTGTCTGAAGGAAACACCTTACTGATATCACACCTCTGTACAGTCAGCAGTACAACTTCTCCCTCGACATCAGGTCTGTCGGTTTTAGTCTTACCGCTCTACAACCGACTTGTCTGGCATGGCAGGACCATGAGAAATGGTTGTTTCAGCCAGTATAGCCCGACTGGTTCATCATGATAGGCAATCTCGACCACCACGTCAAGGTAGAATGAACGGTTGGGCCAAACTGAAGTAGGCAGTGTCGGATTGTAAAATGGTTAAGAGCAGAATTCCGTTTAAAAAAAGAATAAGTATATTGGAAATGGTGTACGTAGCTACTAAAATACACCCTATTTAGTAACTTTAAAGGGTGTTAACCCCGTGCCCTAGAATTATATGACATCCATATTGCATGAAGATTATTTACATTATTGATTACTCTGATGTAGATAGATAGCTTATTTCTTGACAGCTGAGCCCAAGAAAATTTAAGTCACAGCATAAGTGATGAAACACCAGCTAACATATGTATATAGAGCTGAAACTATTTCAATAATAAAATGTTTAGAATACTTAAAACCATCATTTTAGCAAACAATAACTAACTTTTAAACCAAGACTTAGTTGGCGAACTATGTAGTTAAAAAGAAATGGATATTATAGCTGATGATACAAAATTTTCATTCCACTAATTAAGTCACAATAGTTTATATATGGACAAACACCGTTAAAATAGGGTCTGAAACAGCAGCAGAACAAGTGAGAATCGGGAACCTCCAGAGAATAATTCAATCCTTTGTAATCGTTTTCTTGAAAACCACAATCCTAAATAAAACATTTAATCAAACAAAGCTTATTAGCGGCAAAATTTCAAGCTGAAATGTTCAAGTTTTCATAAGAAAAAGAGATGATTAAAATCTCCCAAGCTGGGCACGACTAAGCTAATGATGGTCGCATTGTATTATACATAAACTGCAGTTCCAAGATATGAAGCATTTAATTTTGGGAAATTAGATTGTTGAAATTAAACTATAAACACTGAGAGAATTTATAGTCTCAGCCATAAAAATGTATGTAAAAATGTATTCAGTGGTTCTACAACTGATATTAATTTACACTACAAAATGCTTTAGGATTAACAAAGTGTTCTAGAATCAACATATATGCACGTGCAGACTAATCGATAGTTTTAATCAACTGAAATAAATAATATTCAAGCGGATGTAGCACAGTCGAAATTACAGTAACTTACTGTGATGAGATGAACTTGAATTTCTTATGGTCAGTTTCGTAATAAATAAATGATCGGCTGGTGATAACTTTATTCGCTTGTTTGATATACCACACCAATCCTAAAATAAATGCAAACATTTAATAATTGAGCATTTAAGATGGTCTGAGTATATAGGAAAAAGCATATTGGTTTTATACTACAATTCATTCTGCATATACTATCGTTAACATTTTATAATATTTTTGAAAATGAAAAAAAACAATAAGGGTAATCCAGAGGATATAATGTTTCAACAGTTTCACTATGGTAAGCTTAATTAACCCACAATTATATTTCATTGGTCAATAAATTACAAAAAAGACCACCTAACCAGGAGGCAACTCTGTACTCAAAATTAAACTCTGAATAATTCATAATCTTTAATATATTATCAAATTAGGAACGACAATTTTAGGTTTCATTTTCCTAGACCAACGAAGCAGAACACAGTTGGACATAAAATCTTATCCCTAGACTGAAATAGAACTTCTTTGGGTTTCGATATGAATATATTCAATAAATGCACATTTTTATTAACAAAGAAAATTCATTGTGTCAGTGAATAGAAATAGAGATAGTTCAGTGAAAATTTTCTTTACGTCGACATCATTTACAACAGCTGTACAATTATATTTGTAGTGACGTGATAAACTTGTGAGTCGACAGAAGAATAGAATAGCTTGTATTGTGAATTCATCGGAAATCACAAATACCAAAAGAAGGTTGCGTAATGATCTCGAGTGAAATAGTAAGATTAAAATAATTTGCTGATTGGAAATGAGAGATATTTGTCTACATAGCACATATGAAGAACAAAAGAAAAACGCAAAGGTGATAATAATAATAGTAACAATAATAATAATTTGATAATGAATATGAACATTTCTTAAAGGGTAATAGTAACTGATTCAAAAATAAAACAGTAGTATAGAAAAAGTATCCTGTAAGGTTTGTTAAGGTCACTGGAGAAGTAGCGATTCCATGTGTTGCTTTTTCTCACTGAGTTCGGGCTTGAACTATTGAACTGTTACTACTTTAACAGTGTATAAGTTTTTGATTTTGTTCTTTCGATAACGTAGATTATTTTAAATGATAATTCTAGTCAAGCAACGTGCCCATATTTGACGAGGTGTTTCTACATTGAGCTGTTGATTGTTTTGGATTTCGCTTTAAATTCACTCCGGGTAGTGTTCTGAGACGCGTTTGAAAAGTGTTCTTGCTTTTGGCCAATGTAACCTGCCGCACAAGAAAAAGTTAGCCCTAAAATGTACATTATTGTGGTACAAAGCCAAAAAGTTTCCTTAACCTATTGTGGTGTGTGAATGAACTAATGATTCTTTTGCACTTGTTGAATGCTAGATTTCGAATTCCAAATATAGTATATTCGTTCGTGCTTACCTAGTACTTCTTGATTCAATCGCGTTATTTCTGGGATTCTTAGTTTGTACTATAATTCAAATACTCCTAATCGTCATACCTATCCATGACTGATCAGATATCTTGAAAAGACAATACAGCGCTTGGAAGAATGGAAAGTTTTCATGAGAGATGTTGAAATTCTCAAGATTTCCGTGACAGTACCCCTACGTTCTATATTCATTATAAGAGCTTTCATTCGGATTTTCGATTGTCTTTCAGGTTGCAGTTTTAGTGTTAACTTTCTATTAAGAAAACTGGGTGAAGAGGCATTTCTGATGAGTATTTATCGAAATCGAACTAGTCTGTCGTCTATTATGCCATTGGTGCCTTGTGAGTGAGCTTCAATTGCTAACTGAATTCTTTTCCTGACGAAGGTCATTGTCCGTATGCTCACAGTTTGGCTAATCGTGGCTTCATGTAAATACAAACTATCTACTCAAGAATCTAGAAAATATCGGTTTCTGAGCCGTCTGTTTGATTCTTCCGATTTAAAGAAGCGTTAGACATTTGTTTAGGTGACTGAATTTGACAGTAAATCATATCATTTAAACACTATAAGACACCATTTTATTTTTCAGAAAGGATTTATTTTCTCTTTTTGATATTCATTTGTTCATATTCTAATTAGGAAGCTTGCTGATTATATGATCGGATAACTTATCTCAGTATGCATCTATGTTAGGGCTTTCTAAAACCTTATAATATTTCGATGACAAATAAAATAGACTTGAAAAGCTTTCTTAACTTACACTGGTTCGTATCCTTTAGAACATGGAAAGTATGTTAAAGTACTTTTTGCCCTGTCAATTTGCTTAAAACATTTAGAGGCTATCACCAATACGTATTGTCATCTAGCTCCCTCTTCTAATTCCCCTACAATCAACTCAGTCAAGAGATATAATCTAACTAAAAAATTAATCTTATTAGCTTACATTAATTTTATTTTCATGAATAAGAAATCTAGTTCATGGAATTAACTCTTGAAAAAGTCTCTTTTTAACTAAAACAGAGTGTACTTAACAGGTTAGCCTTCACCATAACCTTAAAAGTTTACTTTCAGAAACAAAGCATTTCGTTCGATAAGCATTCACTGACCAATATTTATATCAACTCTCATTCATTTCACATAATTTACTTACATATCTCTGCCAGTTCAGCATATGAAAGTATGAGAATATCACTAACATCAATAATTTTTTTAGAAAAACTTCTTAGAAATTAGGGTCATTTCTTATTGTGTACTTCTAATTCAGGTTTTAGAGTAAACTCCCATTTTAAAGATTCCTACAGTCTTTATTCTTTTGGTATCCATAGTTCAGGTTAATTGTTCATTCAGTTTGTAAAATAACAATAGAAATAAAAAACTAATTCCATTGTTTTGGGAACTAATAAAGCCATTTTCTAGTTTTGGATTACAAATAGAGAATTTTAAGTCACCAATTATCCCACTGATTGTATTGATTATTCTCTAAAACTGTAGAAAACAATGATTAAAAGTTCAGTTATGCTTGAACATTATAAGCAGGATTCGTTAAGATAATGAAGGTAGTTAGAGTTAAGATTTACACTCAAAATCACCTCTACTGTTTTTTTTAGTGGTAACGGAATGCGATTGATGCTATGCTCTGAATGATATCAATTCACAGTGAAATTTTATTTGAAATATCACATCTCAAAATATTTTTTTCTATTAAAAATCAAGAGTAAATAAATCTACCATATGATTTTAGTGATGTTACGTAAGGTCGACATCTATTTATCTATGTTTAACTGTTAAGATATTAATCGGACAATTAACATTTTTGCACACAATTATAGGTAATAATTAGTATACTCATTACGATGTCATACTCTGTGATCTGCTTGAATTACACTCTCTTCCACCCAATGTTTGTTTCAGTCGGTAAATTAAAATAAGAAAATCAGTTAAGTACTGTAAACTTATATATATGGTTTATTTTATTGTAATACTTACTTGTATCGTGCTACTGTCGACGCGATATTCCATTGATGCGTTCAATGGAGGAACATGACAAATATAATATACAGTATTTTGTTGGGGGATAAGTCGGTCAGCTTGAAATATCTCACTTTGTCGATAAAATGACGTATTGTTGTTCTGAATGCGGGTAGGGATATCACTAATAAATATTGTTTGATTATGATACGAATTAACTGTGCCATAATATCTAAATGAAAGGAAAAATATATCTAATAAGCTCAGAAATGTTCCTGACAAAAATTATATCCAATTTATTTGGTTAACAAACTTTCATATGCCTTTGTAGACTGAAAAAAACTTGACAATGGATCAATCAGTGTGCGTTGAAAGGTTAGCTTTATGTTCTCAATATTAGCTATACGTAATTATTCCTACAGTTGAGATCATGAGTCAATTGAAGCTAGACCACCATGGAAAACCTGGGAACACTGGACGGCCGTCTCGTCTTATTGTGGGACTCCTCAGCAGTGCGCATTTCTCTTTTACATCTACTGTGTGTTCTCAACCTATAAAGTGCTATAGCTCCTACTAAACTTTGTCAAATTAAATTCACTGAAGAGAAGGCAGCTTAGTAATCTTGTAAATAATACTGTGTAGATGACATTTATAGAGTTCTAATTTTGATACCATAACTTAAAAACAGAATTTAAGCAAAATGAAATGCGCAAAATGTACTTTGATTCCAGTCACTGCTGAATGTAGTCAAGAGTCAGGAGCATGTTATTTAATTAACCTGATGCTTATTATCACTCACCAACACAACTCTAATCTACTCGGAAACATTTGAAGCGTTTCGAATATCATTCCTAAATGAAGACATTTCAAATGTTAGTTTAAACCTATGAAAGCTCTTGATCATCTCAAAACATCAAACAACAGGTCTTATGTACAGTGGTTGACATACAACCGAACTACAGAGATTCTAAAGACTCGTTCTTCTAACTAATCTCATTCTAATGAGTGCCAGATATGAATAATCTGGCAATAAAACTTTAAACAACGAGAAATCATTATCTTCAAGTCTACAGGTATTATTTAATGATGATCCAATAGAGGTATTTACTACAAAATTTTAGGATAGGTAACTTTTACTAGAATAATATCATACGAATATGGTTACCATAATCATAATAACTCCTGAGGTTGAACAGAGATACTTGCCATTTTTACAGGAACTCGAACTCATTAAATTACTGTCACGTTGTGGTTTTCATTATCTCGTGAATTTTAAGTTCAATTAACACTTTTGTGTTTCCAAATGACATTGTTTTAAAGAAACCAATATTTTACTAAATCAGCCAAGTGATACAACGGCCTAATAGTATGTTCTTAGTTTGAGTTTGTAGAGTTTCAGTGCATCCAATCTTGTTTCGAATTCACGAAAGGTAATCATTTAAAGTTTAAATTGCTTGATTATTTTTGTTTTATAACCATTTAATTCCATTAACAACATTATTCCAAGTGAAATGAATACATATTTTATTACTCATTGACTAATGCTTTTATTTATAAATCTCGTGTCTAATGAGTATATCTTATCCAGAAATCATTCACATAGCATAATTATAGTGAAATTAGACATTAATTGTTTAAGCAAGTGCTGGCAACAAACGAACGACTGTTTGAATGTCATCGACCATATGAACTGCATCGAACTGTTTAAACAGAATTCGAGGTCAAACAAAATTTCATTTAGCTATCCTAGTGAATAATGACAGTCTTCCTGGCAGTGAATAAGAACAAGTGAGTTATTCATATGTCACGGTGATTCTAATACTTGACCCAAAAAACTTATGGTATAATTTTTCAGCTATCCATTTTGCTTCAGTAAATAAAGGATAAGAATATAAAGGGGAGAAAATTAATCATAGCTGTGATATTTGAGAATAAAGTGAAAACAGTCCTAGAAGAAGACAGCCGTAATAAAACTCGCAACCTGTCAAAGAATGGCGAACGCATAGAGAGAGAAACAAAACTATATTGTAATTAATCAAAAGGTTTATGTTTAACCTGACATTTGGGAATGTTTTTACCGAACCTCGTTGCAAACGAAATTTCAAGACTTCTGTGACAGATTACAGACTATAATCTGGCGAAATTTCATATCAAAGAGCTAAATCTCAAAAGATGTTATGAAACATCCCAGCAATAGTAAGTTTACACCAAAAATAAATTTTTATGAGAACTAGTGGAATTCTATGGTTGCGACAGTAAACACTTAAAAAATTGACAGTTGGTGATTCTAGTTAAGCTGGAACATGTGACAGATTAATAGATAGCTTTCAAATAAACTTACTTATATTTCTGCACTTATCAATAATAATAATTATGATAAATATCGTTCTCTTTTACATGCTTTCTAAAGGATTGTTTTCAAAAGACTTACCATTGAGCTACTCAGTCTTCGACAAACTCAGTATAAAACTCACAACATGAATAAAAGTTAGTGTTCACGAGTACATAGTTTTCTGTGGTCGATCGAGTTAAATATTTCAACTTTGAGATATAACAGCCACATTTACCCATTTTACCAACCAGTTTTCAATTTTATTAGCGATAGCTAGCTGTCAACAAACATAAAGCTATACACCGATATTTCACGGTTATTGAGACATGCCAGAGGTATATCTTTACAACCTTAAGAATAACTATACTAGCAGATTTAGCTCAAGATCAATAGGTTCTATAATCAGGGATGTTATCAGTTGATCGACAAATTTATTAATTGATCCTCGAATCATATTCGATTTCCCGCCTGCTTGTCTTATGATAATTTTGTATGCATAGTTCTATAGTACATCCTTGAATCCGAAGAAGGTTTTGTCATCGGACTCAGTTTTTAATCTAAAACAACAAATTTTGTTTAGCTTGACAATATGTTATATAACATAGTTGGCATACCAAACATTTGAATGATGAGTATGATCAAACAGTAAGAAGCAAACTACACGACATTAGTTACTGTTCAGCAGAAAAATACAGCTTACTTCCACAAATGAGTAATTAATAAACTCAAAAATCAACCTACTTGAATTGGTAAAATGCTTGACATAAATGGATGTCAATAATTGACTCAGAATTGAAGCTCTCTGGAAATTTCAGGCTGGCTACTGCGCACATTTTTGTGCTTATGACAACTGTGAATAAAAAAACATTTACTATCAATACTGAACCAAAATGTTTTTAAATTGTAATTTCCAACATTAAGGTTAAGCAAATATTAAGTTTTGAAGCTCAATGAAGTAATAACGTCACTCAGAATATTTCTTTGGATTCGAACCGTCTGGTAGGAACCTTCAATACCTAGCCTCAAGTGTTCTAGAATATGTGGAAATCTAGTTGTTAACTATTTGAAAATGCTTTAAGTTCATTAGTAATGTATTTTAGCCACTGAAATGGTTTCAATTACCGTTTTGCTTCCGAAGGAATATATATTCTGTCACTATAACCTACAAACTACCTTTAAAAAGACGAAAGTAACTTCTAATAACTATACGTTAGGACAAAAGTTATGCGACCCAGAAATATTCACATAATCTAAATTTCTTTCTGTTTATTAATGCTAAGAAATAATAATAATTGCATTATCTGGATTGTATGAGATAACTGTTTGACTCAAACTAACTAAATTGTGCAAGACATGAATAAAATATGTAACATCTAAAAAGAAGGAACTTCTCAACACTACAACTGCATAAAATTAATGTAGAAAGAGATTAAATTCACACTACCAAATTGTATTACCGAAGCTAAGTTTGACTTCTTGACAAATTTATGTAACTCAGTAAATCATACGAAAATATAATTGAGTGATTTTCATACTCACCATCCGCGAAAAACAACCAGTTAACTGAAACGAATTCCTTTTTGACTCAGAAATCCTGACGAGTAGGTAGTTATCAAGATTCAGGTTACACCTACATCTTTCCACTTTTTATTAAACAACAGAGATGTATATGAGACTTTTAATTTTGAACTATCTTAGAAAATTAAGCTGGTTTACCTCTGCACTGGTTCAGTTATTTAATATTATGATGAGACTTGTGACTTTAATTTTGATCACATTCACTCATGTGTATTTGTTCATGAAATTACCAAAATTATTAGTTCTTAATTAAATCCCTTTAGGTCAAATAGAAAGTGCGTTTGAAGTTATGAGAACAAGTAAAACCTATTCAGAAAGCGTGTTGTACTAAGGAACTGTTTCTCCTAAATACGTGCTATTCCATCAAATAAATTGCCTTTAAATTTAATTACACATTAGCTTATTATAATGATAGGTGATTGAAAACAAAGCACATATCATCCAGTGAAGTAGTTGGTAAATGTATTGTGTAGAAAACATTTAGAAACAGAGTAAATAACAGTAGGAATTCAAATGACGTATTCACTTTAGTTTAAGCTGAGATAGTTTGAATACATACTCTATATAACATACAATTAACTAGTTATTATTTGTGATCATTTTATACAGATATAAATCAAACTTCAACTTACACTTTTCATACTTAGATATAAGCTCTAAATACACCGATTCCCCTTCACCAGTCTCAGTAGTGATCTCATTGTTCTTATTCATAACATACAGTTGTCCCAAATTATTTTCAACTTGTTGATTTGTTATCTTATTGATTGGTTTGCTTAGAAATGTTGAAAAATATGTAAACAGTCGGACGGTAGGTACTGATATTAAATAAAGTTAAACGACCTTTACAGGCTGGCACCAAAATAACTAAGTGGTTAATGATTTGTTAGTTGGATACTTTGTCGTGATTACTAGCAATCACTAGGACAGACTATCATCAGTACTATGAAGTCATACTTTTTTTTACGACTTAAATTCACTAAGATTTGCGCTGTTACAGCCAGATGATTCAGATCATGGAAAGCTTCATGAAGTATCTAACTAGTAGCTTAAAAGAAAGTAGCCTCCCTCTAACTCATAATAACACCTTACTGAAGTACTTCGAAATGCAAAAAGTTCAGATCTGTGACTTTTGCTTGACTTTCCAGAAATCTCTGCTGCAGTGGCGTAAAAGTTTTGTCCATTGCTTTCCAAAATAGATACATTTTGGTCAATATCCAGAACTGATACGTGACTAAAAACAACATTCAGAAGCCGATTCGTGGAGTAATAGTATACAACTGTCTCCAAAAATCCTTCATTTTATTTGTTTAAGTTTTCCGAGCTCACTTATTTATCATTATTCTTTTCGGACGCTTTAAAGTTACCCAAACTTCATTTTATGCCATATATTGAATAAAGAACCCAATGAATTTCAAACATTAGATGTGAACTAATCACTGCACACCGAGTCAATAAATTTACTGTGAAATCTGAATAGAACCATTTTTTCAGAATGCTGAAATGAAACTAAATCAATAAAACTATCGGTTTACTTAAGAGTTTCATAATTTATGAAATCGATTTGTTATTTACTAGGAACCAGTTTTCTAGAACGTCGTGTATCACACTATTAATGATTTGTTGTTTGTCTTTTGATTAACGTGATTGAAACATCAGTACGCTCTTTGATTGTTGACTAATTTTAAACAAACAGATCATCTGCAACACTGATGGCCAATAAATCGAATGTGTGACGTTCAAATTATACAGAAAAGTGAATTTTCTTCCTTAGTTGTTACTATGAGCGTGAACAAACAAATCATTAGACAAATTCATTCTGCTATTAAAATGCATCCTAAATATCCTTTAAAATTACCTTTCAACAAACTATTTTGTTGAATAGCATATAATACAAAAATGATTGAATTCAACATTATTAAGTTTACTATACTGTAATCAATGTTCGAGCATTAAATGACAAAATACTTACGGAAGATAACCTGCATCGATAACGTGATATAAACTTTTTTTCTGCTTTATATAAATCCGTAAAAAGTTCCATACGTATCATGCTGGTGAGCGCAGAGAAATAAAGCGTCGAAAATAGGCTTCTTAAATACAAATTTCACACAACCGTCCAAGAAAACAGTGAACGTTCTCTATTAGACAAAATATTAAAACTGTCTACCTCAACAAGCTAAACTTATGAGAAGGAATTAGTACTGATATTTTTCCATAATAATTTACGAAACGTTCTTTGGTAGAATAAATCATTTATATCCTCATAGGTACTTTGAAAAGAAATAATTATTTTTAAATTTTCCTTAAATCTTTTAAATGTAGTAGCCATAACAGTTTAGTAATATCCTTATAACTTTCGAAATATTGAGTCCATTGAAAAATTATATATATATATATATATATATATATATATTACGCTGAAATATTGAAACCACTCACGGTTTCAAATTACATATTCTTTTAGCCGTACACTTCCATGGTATTTCAAGTATTGCTTTGTCATCCGGGTAGATTTGATTCTTTTGGCGAATGTATACACTTCCGGAATATTGAAGATTTTGTGTGTTAGTCTAAGAAAATCAAAGCAAAAAACAATTTATTTAAAAAGGTAGTGTATATTTGTAAATATTGTACTTAAATAATAAATGACTTATTTGATCAGGGTATAGAAAATTTATCAATAGTTATCCTATAGATCAGAACATCTTAGATCCACTTTGTTTTAAGAATTTTTATCAGTTGATTACTAAAGATAACCGTTTCAATATTAAAATATGTGTGAAATGTATTGTCAAGCATGACAAAACTTTGGTTCAATATCAATCGACCACGATTATCCGGATTATAGCACCTCACCTACAATCAAGTTTGTTTATAGTCAATATCGTCAAGCCATTCGATTAACTTATTTAACAGACAGTGTTATGCGAATAGTTTGTCTGTATCTTTGTATTTTTATTATTATTGTCATATCTGTTTGAACCTGTATGGTTGATAATATATGACAGCTTACACACATAGCTTAAATGTTAGTTGCTTAAATATCGTTTGATGATTAATTCGCTTTCCCATATAGATGAGCTTGGTTCTTACTAACAGACTCACAATAAATTCGCCTCTATATTCGCTTACTCGGACGCATTAGCTTTATCTATTCGAATCCGCTTAATGTGCTTGTAGCTTTATTATCTGTGCCATCTAGTAATAAACTGTAGTCAGTGCTTCGTGTTGCCTTCTGAATCCAAACATCGTTGAAGTCTATTTAATAACGGTTATTATTGTTATCGATATATGAATCCTAAGAAATTATCTCGAAGCCAAGCCACTACAGGTATTTGTTGCCTAGATATAATTTTGATTCAGATTGTTAACTTATGACGGTGCTAAACTTATGTGTAGGAGAAATATCCCTCTCCATGGTTTTGATACAGTGATAAGTTAGGGACCATCAATCGGTGTCAAAAATGAGGGTTAATCAATTATTTCATTTAAGCAGTGTCATAATGTGTCCTTGCCAGTATAAATTGATCCTACGAATAAATAATAAGTGGGAAATTAAGATAATATTGATATGAAATTGTTGAAACCCTCTGAACCGAACAATCCTAAAATAAAATATAACAAATAAACGCCCCCACTACATATGACTTGTTTGGTTGTCATGTTAACTTTTCAGAGGTAAACAAAGTATTTATTAAAGCTCCCAAAATACACAATGAATTTTAGAGATGGAACTTTTGTTTCATGTTATTGCACATAGTTGAAATCACTTTCAGTGATAACCAAGTAAGTAATTCTGATCTTTTCAATAACAAGATGTGACAAAACAATCGTTCTTGATAAGTCAGTTTATTTGCCACTAATCAATTAAGTAAGGTAAGGAATGTATAAAAACAAACCCCTTTTTGAGTAAACTACTGTATACCAGAGAAGAATTCTGCTCAGAAACATAAACTTGTTATTCACACTACTATGTTACATGTCGAGATCATTCAAATGATTCTCATTTGGATAACTTCCCTACATATTAACTGCAGACATAAATGTTACACTACGTATCCTGAGAAATCGTGAGCATCATGATAGACCTGAAGTAGTATCCTATAGTTTATCGATTAAAGAAAAAACAGTGATATTCACTTTATCTTTGTCTAGAAAGCAGTAATAAAGCAAAGAACGCATTATTAACTGGGATTATTGTCTTGACTGCGTTTCATAAGCAACAAGATCAAGTTAAGCTTGATAATATATTGAATTTCCACACCCCAATACAAACAGATTAATTCAAAGTTTAACTTTAAGAAAAATATAACTGGGAGTATAAGATTTTTCCGATGTGTAGTCATGTATATGGGCTTTTTGTTTACTCAGCTATCAGATACTTTTACCGCATTTGTTTTACTGAATAATTTTGTAGTGTGTTGTTTATTTCTAATAGAATTGTTTACAAATCCAAAGGACTAGTAAGGTCAGCATACAGTATTCAATAACATAGCAGAACTTTGGAAACAGAAATAAACAACAAATTAGGTAAATAACGGTATTTTTTAGAATATTTTAGTTTCCTCAAATCAATAACGGCTCGTTTTGTCCACTTGAGCCTTATTGATCTGAACTAAATATTTGACTCTTAAAATTGAAATGATTGGTTTTTGTTTATTCCTGGAAAGCTTTAGCAGTTCTATAAATTGTTAGGATAACGTTATTGATTAGATTATTGATATCCGCTCAAAACACTGGTTTGTGTGAGGAACGTGATATGAAAAACGAAACTCCTGAAGACGTGACAGGTTATTGTAATCGAATTTGGAGGTACAATATTTCGTACTATGAATCGATTGACAATAAAACATACCGACTCACACCAATGTATTTTGGTTACTGTCAAATAATGTTTGTGAACTTTGTTCGAACTTCAAGAGAGAAGAAAATTACATTTGAGCTACGAAGATTTTTAAAACTAATACTATAAATTGTCACTACTTTAGAAGAAAGTATTGGACTGAATTAAGTAGAGCTTTAATAATGTTAGTATTATGACTGTTCGTCATTAAACGATGAATGCAATGATTGCAAAGCAGGTATACTTGGCAAGGACCCACTGATAAAATTTTTTAATCATCCTATACTTTTATCTTTTTGACATTTACTTTTTCAGCTAATCACTGATTTGATCACTTGTGCGTTTCACAGGCTAAGCATCATTTTCTTGTCAAATACTTTTTATATGTAAAATTCCCTGTAAATATACACACGTGTTGTTTCCGTCAACATGCACAGTCAATACAAACATGGCATAACGATTACATAAGTTAACCTTATGTCAGTAATTTACGTAGAACCATGACGAATGGTTTAAAAACAAAATTAAAGCTTTGAAGTCAACAGGCAACTCTTCAGACTTTCTGATTTCTCTTAAACCTGTTTGTAAGCTTTTTGAGGACATAGTGTGTACAGTTAATTATCAGTCATACTGAAAGTACTGAACCAAAGTTAGCTTAATTATGAAGTTGAATATTACTACAATACCACAGATATATTTGATCATAATAAGGTCAAAACGTTCTCAATTTAGTCAGATTCCAGTTGTTTAACAGGTATTCTTGCTGGACACTTTGGAATTTAATATTGACAGTATGGTTGTTTTTTAAATTCTAATCAAGATAATATTATAACTTGTAGAGCTTTCTCAAAGTTCGTATTATTTTGATCATCTGAGGTATTCTGACTTTCAGACAGAACACGAAGACTTGAAAGAGTGACACTACAGAATACGTCCAAGTAACAATAATAGGAATGGTGATAATGACATGTTATTTCTAAAATAACTTACAAGTTCATTACAAGTTGAGTCAACATTTAATTTAACTTTGCAAGTGTTCATTAATAATTGATCATTGAACAATGTAATGCAGTACCATTTGTCTTTTGATGGATATATTTTTTTAGCATCCAAGGTATTTGATATTTGGTTTAATTGTGAGCTTAATGAACAAGACTGCCCACGATCAAATGATTCTCTATACATTGACTGCACAAGTGAAACGTCAACCATATTTAGTTGAAGGTAGTAAGGTAGTGTTTGAAATCTTCCAGAAGAGTGAGGCAAATAACAGACTGTGAGTTTTTTCTCATCACATTTTGTTTCAGCTAGAAAGAAATATTTCAACTTTTGTCAAAAAAATTTAAGTTAGGGTGATTACCTCATTACTGAAAGTCTGAGACAAAAAAATTGCAGACAGTGTCTGATAGTCTGAGCAGATAATTACAGAACATTACTATTTAGTGTAGTTGTTTTTCTCAGATATACTAAAAGAGAGAATTCACAGAATAAGTTGAAAGGTTAATTATCAATGTTCAGCTATCAGACTAGTTGTTAGAGATTACGATGATACGTCATGAGTTCCGTTTACAAATGCGTCCCATATGCTTACATAAGTTTACAACACGTTTTTAGGTGAGTTTTGTTGTACCTTGGTTTTACAGCTTAAAAACATATGGAACAAGCCATAACCTGTTGTCTTTAAGAGAAAACAGTTATGTTTGACGACTAAAATGTCATTTGAGTGAACGCCAAAGTTGCATGAAAATATTTAAGTTATTTTGTGATGGGATATAAGTAAAATGTGAGCTTTGGTACATTGAAATTTGTCCCAGCAGTTATTTCCTTTGTTTTTTAGGTAGCTTTTAACTACCTTGTTCAACACGTTGCGTCCAATTCAATTAAAAATACTCTTGTGCACTAATTTTGTTGAAAGGAAGTAGTCGGAATTTCGTACAATGAGTGGTGGGTTATTCAACTCAATCTTGCAAATAAGAAGTATAAAGCTTTAATGTTACATGATAATTACTACTCTGTCTAATATTGCCATAATTTAATACTCTAGTAGATAACCATCTGGGTATCAAATTGATACTAATTTTGGGTTTCAGATCGAGCCAGAATCCCATCTGACTACTCTAAAGTAGATTACCTCGAATGCAATCATTAGTAACACGCATTAAAAACGATATAACTGGTCATCATACCTTTGTGTTCAAAACGTAAGATCGTTATGTAAATTACTAGAGACGGACGGACAAATGAGTGGTTACCAAATGTAGGACCGAAATTTCAACACTGGTACATTATGCACTTCGTATTCCCTTGATTATTTCTTAATGCTTGCATTCCACTCGCGTATACAATTCAATGAGGTTTAATAAAATATGTGTTAAAATCAGCCATTCACTAATTACTATACCTCTAAATTTAACCAGTCACCAATAAATATTAGTAATATTTTGGAATTCTAATGCGGACAACCTCTTGGTAACTATTAAGTTATTTAAAACGAATCTGAATATACCAGAAGGATTGACTAAAGATTATACTCTGTACATTTATGTTCAGCAAGTGTTTATATCACAGAAAAACGCTACAGTTTCCGCTAGCCTATCATTAAAAAATAACTTACCTTATTTCACATAACTAAGACTGGACATGTAAAATTAGTCTAATAAATCTATTATACAACGCTAATAAATTGAAATCACAATGAATGGCTATGTAACTTAGTTAAGTGGATGTTATGAAACGATAACAGTTTGACATACCTTTTTATGCATACTCGAACTTAAGTAGTTTTTCATCTTTTTTATTAATTCCATGAATAAGATATAGATTACAAAGTGCTATGACGTACGGTACAGTGAAATACATCTTGAACAAACTAAGTGGCGAATGATAAATAATAGTTGCTTAAAGATATTTTTCTCAGTATCCTAAGCGTGTTCAATCTAACTGCTTTAGTTTTATTGGCTATACACATGATATCTAAACCAACAATTTTTTCAGCGATGCCAATAGTCTACTTTTAATTAGTCGTAGTTATCAAATTTTATTATTTTGTGAAAATGGGAAACATATAAAATAGATAAGACAAGAGTACTGACAACGATACTACTGAAAAAGACAACTGTGTTTTTTACCTCAGAAATTTCGATATTAAATACTGCTGAAATTTTTGGAGAAAAACACTCGATGGTTTCTGTGTTTGGCCATAATCTAGGAAGCCACTTTCCCCACATCACACTCCCTGAAAGAATTTCACTGGTTAAATTTAATGAACTATTGAGTGCACGTCAAATTAACTTTGAATCGAAATTGTAAAAATAAGGAAAGTTGTTATTAACGAAAACACTTTGAAAAACCAAAATATGTAAATTATTCATTAGTTAAACGAACACTTACTATGTTTCAATTTACAAGGAAACTTTAACTTATCCTTGTACTGAATAAGATTCATTGAATCAGCTATGTTTCGTGAGTTTTCATGTCGATCACCTTTATGAATAAACGACCTACCAGGTGGACATCGGCATCCATCTGGTATACCATCGTTATTCTGATCATAACATGTTCCATTAATTTTCTGACAAGGTTCACAATCATCACTTACAACACTTTTTGTATTTGTTAGGTGAGAAATTGATTTATCTACGACAGGAACTGAAAACAATTTTTGAATTCAGAATGTTATTATTATTTAGATAAAAACTAAGAGTTATTTTCAATGAAGGACAAACAGTTGTAAAATAAACGCTTAAACTCAAAGAAGTCTAAAGTGATAACTTACTGTTATGCGCAGACTTCCCACTGGTTATGGTTTAAACTAATAACTAAAAATTGTCATATGTGGGTATGCCAATTGTTAATTAACTCAATGAAATCTAATAAGTGGGATTTCTCAGTTTCAAAGGTTATGTTGGTTTTTGAAGCTATCTTCTAATATCATCAATAATATTAGCAAAAATCGATGCTTTCAATTATATAAAAAGTAAACAGGTCAATACAGTACTGTTATGGTTGGAATTTATGCTGACCAATTCATTCACCAAGTAAAACTGAGCTATACGTTTAGTTAAAATGGATAAAAATTCGAAAGTAATTTATGCAACTTTTTATATTCCGTTAGGATATATTCACCCCAAAATAAACACGAAAACTTTCAAATACTCTTCATAAGGTCTAAAACTTTCAAAGTCAATACCGTATGAAATAGATCCTAAATCATCACTTAATTTACTTTTCCCAAATACTTTTTCTATTTATATATTTCTACCCTATGTAATCAGTTCTAAATGTGATTGAAACCCCAAAATCCTAAATATCCGCTAACTTGTATATTGATTTCATCAAAATCTACAATTATACTTCAGTTGAAACGTAATTTTATTTAATAGAAAGTATCACCTGTTTTCAAAATAGATTATTCGCCGCAATCTGTATAAAGTTCGCTGAATGCATAGACGTTTAATTAATATAATTTGGATAATTATACCCTAAATACAATCAATATTACTAAAGTAAGAAACTATGTGAATTAGGTTTTTGTTTTTTGATTCAGAAGTGTAAAAGTTAAGCTTTTGTATTGCCAGTTATATTATTTGTTAATCTACATATATTTATTTTATTAGTCAGGTTAACTGGAATGTGTAAACAAATCGCATAGTTCTAATGTATAACTAATGATCAAGACGTAAATAAACACAAAATATTCAACCGAAAACTTAAATCTCAGTTTTTTTATATAAAACATTTTCATATTTTTAAACAGATCTGGTTGTTTATCATCTCTAATTACAAGAATAAACTTTCTCGAGATTTGTTAAAAGTTTTTTTGTTTGTTTGTGAAATGACTATTTACTGCTCTATAAGTATTTATGTAGTAGTGTTTTGGTTTCACAGAAAGGAATGTTACATTTTAATAAACTTTCACCGATGTTTATTTTATGGTTTTCGTATATATGTCATAATTATTGATCAGTTTAATGTCAGTGAATAAGGCGATGGAATTCATTTCTAAAATTTGTACTACCAACTTGTGTTTGTTTATAGTTCAAAACACTAGATTGGGATTTGGAAGTATTATTCGAACGTATATTGTAAGTATTTTGTAATGATAAGTAAACTAATTCTCACAATATGAAATCGTGCTTCACATTGATACCAGCAATTTTACAATTAACATCTACTCATTAATTACTTTATTTTATTCGTTTACTCGAACCGTCTCTTAAAGTTTATATGATGGGGCAGCATGTAGGATAAAAAAAATTAATTGCGTTGTGAAGTAATGCTCATCTAATTTGTGTATGGAGAATAGATAAATTCGAAAGCGTTACAGATTGGACGATCATTAAAACGCAGGCAGTTGGAGAGAGTATAGTTACAGTTTTGACAATTTTAATCATCTTTGTCAATATAAAATATATGTGTTATAGGAAACCCTGAAAATTCATAATGGATATTAACTTACAATTCATAAATTCTCAGAAAATCGTTTAGCCGAATATTAATTTTTCGCTTATATTCACGAATTTAAATAAGGTCATATATCATTGTGGGTTGTGGAATCATTCAGGTTATTACTGGGAGGCAATAGCTTACAAAAACGCTGAACTACATCACTACAATTTTCTGTAAACATGAACTATTTAATTCTGAAAAGTTGCTGAACGGCAAACGGTCAAACTAAGAATATAATATCTTCATCTTTAGACTGGTATAGAGTTGAGAATTCGAATAAATGTATTTTTATCAATTCTACTGCTAAAATTCGTGAACCAGACACGTGAAAGTTTACACCTATTCCAGAGATCCGTCAAGTGTGATTAGGTTGGTATTCTCCGTGCTGTATTCGAGGGTCTTGCTTTCTCCCTTGTATATGTTGAAGCCTACTGATTCAGAGACTGCTGCTACACTAGTTGTCGTCACGTACATTTGTTGATGTGTATATAATAGAATAGCTAAGTCATTTGCAAAGTCCGATTCATCTAGATGTATCCAACTTGTGGATTTTATCACGTGCTTCTCCTGAGGTGTGGAGGTCTTCGTAATCCAGTCGACCACCAGAAGAAAGAGAAAGGGGGAGAGTAAGCTGTCTTGTTTCACTCCGGTTCTCACTTGCAATGCGTCTGTCAGCTCTCTGTTGAAAACCTTTCCTGGTAATGACAGTAGTGTGATGCCTCCGTAGTTCTTGCATTTGCTCATATCTCCTTTCTTTGGCATCTTGATAAGGAATACTTCTATCTAGTCTGTCGGCACTTGTTCCTCGTCCCAAATCTTCCTGAATGGAACGCAGAGCATACTTGCAGTCACTTCTATGTCCGACTTCATTGCTTCAGTTGGTATATTTCTCGGTTCTGATGCTTTCCCTCTCCTGATTTGTTTGATGGTCATCCTAATTTCTTCGATCGTTGGTGGAGTGAAATTTACAGGAATGTTTATGTGTGTTGCCATGATGCTTTGTGGGTTCAGTCAGTCAGTCAGTCAGTCAGTCAGTCAGTCAGTCAGTCAGTCAGTCAGTCAGTCAGTCAGTCAGTCAGTCAGTCAGTCAGTCAGTTCGTAGTCAGTCAGTCACAGTCAGTCACATCAGTCAGTCAGTCAGTCAGTCAGTCAGTTAGTCAGTCAGTTAGTCAGTCAGTTAGTAACAACGTAGAACTTCGTACGTACGTACATCAATTCAAGTTGCCATACCATATTAGCACAGAGATACAATTGTCGATTCAAACCCCATAGTGGTAGAGGTAGTAAGAGTATTAGCAGTAATCGGAAAGATTAGGGTTTGAAGATGTTATTCAAGGAGTATAATCCAGTGAAATAAACTTGGAAAGAGAAAAAAGGACATGAAGAATTCAGAAGATTAGAATTTCGGAGAACACAGAGAGTGGATGCACCTGCGCCATTGCAAACGATTTGAGCCATGTCATTCAGGGTCTCTAACCATCGGTTTCTATCATCTCGCGGTCCCCAACCAGGTAGTCTACACCTACCAACATGACTCAGTCCACTTGTCAATGACTTCATGGATTTGTTCCATGTTTTGATCTGACCGCCCCTAGCTTTCTCCCAACCTACCCCTACACCCGAAAACATCGCACGTCGAGGCAGTCGGTTGTTAGGCATACGTAACATGTGTCCCAGTCATCTCAACTGATGAAGTTTCACTACTTCATCAATCCATTTGCCATCCTTACCTATTACCCGTTTCCTAACAACTGCATTACTTACTCGATGGTCCTAGGATATACGAGCAATATTTCGAAGACACCTATGATCAAATATCAGTAATCTACGAATATCCTCCACTCTTACCGGTCATGGTTTACAGCCATAAAGTAGGACGGAACGAACTGCTGCGCAGTAAACACGTTCTTTGGTTGATGGACGGAGATCTCGCCTACGCCATTAATGACGCAAGTTGGCAAAATCTGGTCGAGCCTTCTGTATCCGTGCTGAGATTTCGTCACACACCAGACCACAAGGGCTGATGAGACTTCCCAGATAAGTGAAGCGATCGACACGCTCAACTATTTCACTCCTTATCATTAGTTCGAGTGTCGATGCAACCCAATCCTGAAGCAACATTTTGCATTTCGAGGGAGAGAATGGCATGCCGAACATGCTTGTGGGTTCAGTAGGACTGGTCTATTGAAGGGCCTTTCATTGTGTTCTACCCACATGTTACGGTGTTCTGCAATCTCAGTGATTGGCTTGAATTCTTTGTCCATCACTGGTCTCTCTGGTTCACTATATTTCCCTACTAGTTTCTTCGTCGCGTCAGATAGTTGCTTCATATTTCCTTTTCTTGCAGCTTTTTCCGCTGTTCATGCTAGGTCTTCCACGTATTTCTGCTTGTCAGCTCTAACGCTCTCCATCACTTACTTGTTTGCTTCTGTGTATTGAGTTTGTGCCTTAACTTTCTCTGTTCTTGTTCGACTGTTGTTAATTTCTGTCTTCGTATTCTTCCTTGAATCTTGTTCAGGGTTCCCATGGAGATCCATTTCTTATGATGATGCTTCTTGTGGCCTAGCACCTCCTAACACGTTGGAGTTAGTGCTGCTTTAATCCATCTCAAGTTGCCCTCCATAGTAGTTTCATCTTCTTGGAGTAGATCTTGTAAGGCTTGGAAACTGTTGTTGTTTAGAGCTTTCTTAAATCCGTTGAGTTTGTCAGCATCTCGAGAGAATGCTGTATTAAATCTTTTAAATGCTGTCTCTCCAGCCGTCCAGTGCTTCCTTAGCTTCAGTTTCATCTTGGCAACCACCAGTCGGTAGTGGTCTGAGGCTACGTCAGCTCTTCTCATGGTTCTCACGTCTTCCATCGACCTTCTGAATTTTTTAATGATTCAAATGTGATCGGTCTGATTTTCTGTAGTGTGATGTGGTTCAATGAGACACACGAAGCTTTGCGTATGCGTTTGTGTGGGAATATTGTGCAACCTATTACCATTTTGTTGAATGGACATAGATTTGCAAATCTCTCACCATTCTCGTTCCTTTCTCCCAGTCACTTCATGTCGTTCGATTACATCTTCATATCCGAAATTGTTCATTCCATTTTATTGAAGGTAGTTCTATCACAGATTTATTTTCAAACTTCTTCGGTTAGCCTCAAAACTTGAGAAATTATTTCAAATGCCATACGTGTCATTTTATCTTTATATTCAGCTGTCTAAATGTATCCTTTGCAATATGCATTAACTATAGTGGCCCCAGGTATATCCTATGCTCCCAGTTGTTTAGCAAATGGTAAGGCCAACACATAAATACACACTCTAAATCAGTTGCAACAGATCTGATATAATTTGCGGAAAATGACCCATAAAAGCAACATTTGAATAAGCTTAGTAGATGGACATAATGGATTTATTTATAGAATTGTTTCTATCTTATTCCCACTTACGACTGGTAGCTCAAATTGTATCATGGATAGGAACGTTGAAGCGTTTATCTTATACCCTGAGATCATTACAAATATGTCTACTATCTCGTAAATACACAACGTGAAATATTCGAAAGAAATATATGCCCAATTTTTAACGAAAGCTGCCATAAATTCAACACATTTTTTTATAAAACGTTGTTGTTAGTCAAACTGTCCTTTGGAGTATAACAGAACTAATCGGTCATTTCCTCTCTACATAAACTTAAATGAACGCACTACATTCAACAGGACAATTCTTCTTATAAGACAATTACGTAAAATGTGGTAGTTTTCGTCGACTCCATTTTCAAATGGAATTCCTTTTCTTTATAATCAACGGTATTTTGTAGAGGTTAATTCCTCTATATCTGACTCCAATAAATAGTATCCCGTTAGCAGAGTATTTAATGCAGGCCAAATCTTCTAGTAGTATTATGAATTTACTCGAGATTATTCAAAAACTCGAACACCAGTTGTAGCGATAGTTCATTGGTAATGACTAGTAAAAATCCTCAAGCGCGCAAGCTTAGTTATAATTATTCCACCGATATCTTTTTTTTAATGCTGAATACAAATTAACTATGACTTCTATATTGTCTAGACGATCGACCTACCTAATGAAAAGGATTATGATTATATGTTTTGTACATTGATTTTATTTAAACCTTGATAGTATTCATCACTAGCAAAGTAGAATAAATATTTTGAAACAATATTTAAGAGTGAAAATATGCAATACATTAATGTTCAGTTGAAATAATACTCAAGGTACATAAACTTACAACATTCAAAATAGTTTAAAAATGTTTGGTAAACCGCAACTGTGTTTTCAGGACAAGTGCAAACCTTTATGTTGGGTAAATCACCTGAAACACATTGAGCGGAACGTGATCTGCACACTAAATATGAAGGATCACAAACTTCGCCAATATCAGCTATTAAAAAGAAAGCAGTTTAGAAAGGAATTGTGGGTTTAGATTTTAGTTTTAAAAGTGAACAAATATGATGGATAAAAGTTGGAGGCTAATAGGAAGGAACTTAATTCATCAATAAGTGATAATGTATACCCTTAGAGGTGAATTATGGAAGGCCACTCCTTGATTCCTTTTTTAGCAACTAACTCATCAGAGGTGAATGTAATCCAGCATTATCAATATACATTTTCCGTCAATCTCTTTCAAAAGTCTATATGATGAGCTAGGTTGATCAAGAACATTTGATAGTGACGGAAGACCTATCGATTTCACTTAATTTAAATATGATCTGATTCAACCTACTAATTTTGAAGGAAATCTGACAGTGAATCATAGGAATATATCTACAGGAACCTGTCAACTTAAATTCTGAACATACTGACTTTCATTATACAAAATAGTAAATACAAAATTCAGTGAACCAATATTTCGAGTCACTTACATTAGTAGCTACAATGGAGACTTGGTTAATGGAATAGGATTTATACTTAAGATCAGTAAATAATGGATTTGAAAATTTCCATTAACAGGTAAGCTTAGTTCATATTGTTAGCTATTAAACTATTCTGAGTTGCTATTCTCTAACCGAAAATTTATAAAAATACATACTAGAGTCTTTGTTAATTTCTAACATGATTTCTTGGAATCAAAGAATTATTCATACGTCCATACTCATCAAACAACGACCATCCTAGAAATCTTGTATTCCATATTATTTTATGTTGATTCATAGTAAACCGTAGTAAATCAAAAATTAGAATGCTTCAACTATGTAAAGTTTTTGTAATGAAAAGTAAACCAATAACATTTTATCGTGGTCGATTACCGCTTAGTAAATTATATTACTTTGGATTTAGTAGCCTGTTAAACTTCGTGCAAACTATTAATACATGGTTAAGGAGATCGCTGAGTAAACTGTTTCCATTGAAATCTTAATTTTGAAATGAGTTCTTTTGATTGATAAAAAAAGCCATAGATTATAGATTCGACGAGTAAACATGAAAATAGCATATATGAATAGCCTTAGTAAGTTTAAGAACAAATATAAGTGGTTTCTGAATAAAAATGAATTAGCGAAAGTACCAAATTTAGTTTTACCAAGACGCTGAAGTAACCGAAAAATAAAGATGTCCAGTACGCGATATTGATTACTAGCTTATTCCACAAGAGAAAATTGATCAGATAAAAATCAGCATTTCACTCTGTCTATTTCTGTCACTTTTTAGACTGCTACTTTACCGAATTAAGACTGTTGATTAGGTTACTAGTTCTGTGTTGCAATCATAGTTAACTAGATCACCTGTTTCCCACTGTGTTTAAAATGCACACGTGAAACTGTGTTTTGGACGAATGATATTCTTTTACAGTCTAAGGTCCTATACTGAGTTATGTTTTGCTTTAGTTCTAAGAACGTTAATGGGTTGGAAGAGAAATCCATTCTTTACACATTTTTTTATTTCTGATTACTGAGTCGATCTCATCACAAACCGAAACTTGAGACTAGTCCATGAAGTTACTGACTACTGGTTTGGGTCAACATAGCACGAGCAGACTACTTGGTTGGGGTTTGCAAGATAACTGAAATCAGTGGTTGGAGACTTTAAGTGATGTGGCTTAGAATCGTTCACAGCGGCTCGGATGCATTTGCTCTTTATCTTCTCTATCTTGATTTCCAGCATTTCTTCATATATACCGTTTCACGTTGTTTTCTTGAACCTTCTCACTGGCATTGTAACCACGTGAATTCGATGTCTCTGCTATTTGTTTTGCTAATATCACCTCATCGTGCTATCCAGGTATGAGAAGTTGAGCCAGAGTACATCTATGTGAGGCTCCACGATGAGTGATAGGATCTGACTAATATATTTTCATCACCGATAGTAGTGTCACTGGTGAAACTCCTGATATTTACGTTTCTTGTCGTTTGAATAATCCAGATAACTGTTATTAGGTTTGCTTCAGTTGGTTTATGTTTACAACTTGTCAGGAGTCTTACGATCCTAACCAAAGTTACTAAATTGCATTCATACTTCGTAGCGGAGCAATTTATCAACTAAGTGACGACTAAAATTCAAGATATATCTGAACGCCTCATCCAAATAACTATGCAGGCAGTCAGTATGTTGATAGTGGGAACTTATTATAGTCATTTCAAAAAATAATAAATGGAGTTTTTCGATGAATGTCAACGCAATTTGGGAATCTGACCTCAGGTGACGGAAAATGGTGAATATAAGCTTTACTGCTAACATCAAAACATCAGTATAGATCTTCATTTAGTCCCTATAAAGAAAAATGAGTGTCATAAACTAAATTGCTAATCTACTTCGAATATACTCAAAATCGAAGTAGTGTACGAATTAATAATATTTGATTTTACGAATGTATAGACTGAAAAAGTAGTATCCAATCCAAACGCTTGTCACAATATTTTTGAAAAATTAAAGTCCGTTCGCTTCAGCCAGAAAGCACCTACAAAGATTTATTTAATCCTATCGTGTATTTAAGGTGAATGTCCAACGAAATTTAGGCATATACAACAAACTACTCACTAGACATAAATAATATTTTTAATTACAAGAAAAAGCTCTTACGCAAATTCACAGAACATAAATGATTTTTCCCTGGGACTTGAGAACCAGTTGGTATTATCGTTGGAGTAGAAATGGGGTTAAATTCACAAGTACACCCAACAAAAGCAGGTTCGTTTGAACTGAAAATGAATTATAGAAAGTATTGTTATTTCAAAGACTATGTTTTCTCCATATTGAGGAAAAATATTATAAACCTACTTTACAATCACTTTCTTGTAACTAATTTGAGTAACTTTCTCTTTAAATGAAAGGCGAACACAATATATGTAAGCAGAAATCATAACGCTTTAAAACAGTCCATTAAAAAGTATGGAATTAAATTTAAACTCTTAAGTGTTATTTACTCTGTCACTTAACTTTTCTAACTTTTAAAATTACATGTCTCGGGCACAACAAATACTGGGTACCAATATTTGAGAACACATGATTGAAGGTCGATATAGTGTAGCTGTGTGATGCATTTAAATTTATATGTCAATAATTAAAACGAAATTACCACATGAATAGAAAGTAGTATATACATAATTTATAGCTTTAAAAATGATTCTCTTGTCCGTATACACAATGCACTTACCTATTCAAAGTACCATCCAGTTTTATTATTATAACTTTCAAATCTTTTACACGGTCTAGATCTTTCGACATTATTTCATGACACACATGATTTGTATCACACATTCTGCAAGCATCGTAATTTTGATGAAACAACTTGGTTCCTAATCGAAAAAAATAAGGCGACAAATATTGAACATAAAACTCCTTTAGATAATTGAAGCAACAACTGAAAAAATAAACTAATATCTATCTATCTATCTATCTATCTATCTATCTATATATATATATATATATATATATATATATATATATATATATATATATATATATATATATATATATATATATATATATATTCTTTATAACAATGTTTCTTTTAAATAATTTATATTCTGAAGTAGAACGAAATTCTTAGCGTGACTATTCCCGCCGGAAATACTTAACTGAGTAGTTCATTGAAATTTCCTGTTAGGACTGTTCTCTCAGCATCCGATCAAAAAGCAGGAGCGATGGGTTATTTTTATTTACTTAGATATTACTTGTAGAAAGTTGAATACTTTGAAATAAAAAATTATAACTCTACAATTTTACGAGCTTTAATGGATTTTGACTAGTACAGCAGGCAGTGGTGAAATTCTTTACCTTGGTAGAAGAGAGCGTGTACAAGCAAGCAAGCCATTTGCATGGTCAACTACCAAGAAAGAGGTGGATGATTGATTGGATACCCTAAGCTAAATTAGATTCAGTTACTCACATCTCACAAAGTCAGCATCCAGTTTTGATTATCTAATTAGCTAATTATTCTATGGGATTATTCCCCAATTAAAATATACACATATGTTGAAACACAGGAACTTTGAGTATCAATACATGCAAGATACATACAGCCTATTCAATCTGAATCATATGGTTCACTTTCTCAACTTCAATCATGTCGTAATATAAGACGAGCTCCTTTAATCTTATCAGTAGGTGACCAACGCACTACCATCTTGACCGCAGCTTGTCATTAAAATTCTGAAAACACCGACCGATGGCCACTGATTTACATTTAGATTGATGGTCTATAGCGATTGATTTCATTTGACAAAATCACTTTTTTGAATCAGATGATAAACAACTAGAATAAATATCTCCAGAATTGTAAAAAATAATTGTAAAATTTATGATTTAAAAAATGGGCATTTACTGGTTATTCCCATGGTGATTTGTGCAGCAACACCACTAAAATAACTCAAGTTTCATTCATCGGAAATAATTAAATTACTTGCTATTTACCAGTATGCGGTTGTGGAGATTGTTGAGTTTTGATTGATATCATCATTGAATCAATGTTAGACCACTACTGAAAACCTGAAAGCAATGAACTTCCGTTTCGTCCTGGCATGCGCATCCACCGATCTAGGACCTTCAGTCTCGCGCGCGAACGCCAAACCTCTAAACCACTTAGCCAGCATCCAATGGTAATAATGTATAATTTCAACCAATTCACGATATTGCGCGACGCTTCACCACTGTCTTCAGTGAATAAATGTCTCCCAACAGACATGTATGAACTCCATTGGTCATGGCTTCTCCCTAGAACTCCAAGAAATCCATCTTGAAGCTAGTCACTAGTGAGTACATGATAATTATCAGTATGGGATTGTGGAGATCGCTGATTTTAAATTGATATCATGGGGAGTCCCATACGAAAACGAAACAGTGCTTCCAGGTTTTCGATGGTGGTCTAACATTGATCCATTCATGATATCAATCTATTTGCTATTTATTTATTAAGAGAGGAGCAAAATTGTTTAATGTATTGATTTGATAGAGGATAAAACATTTGTTTGATAAACAGACTATTTCTTAAGATAAAATACTTAACCAATTGTTGTCAGATTCAAAAATTAGTTCAGAAAATATCAAAAAAATTATGCAAAAATATGTTTTCAAATGGATTTTTCACTCTATGAATGCTTTGAAGTTCAGTGTGACCATCATGACTACTAGTTAATGTTCATTTATTTTAGTATTCGCACTTTATTTTAAAGGTTTTCTTGTGTTTCGATTTGATTACGTAGAAATATTTACGATGCACAAGTGTAGACACAAATGAATCAACTGATTAATTATATACTTGATGATTAGTTGATTGGCTTACTTAGATTTCGACAAAAATAACATTAACTAGAGATTACTTTATCATTTATTACTAATTAGATTTTACATATTTTGCTCACAAATGTTCATGACGAATATCACAAGTCATCAACATCTTCCTGACATTTTGAATAACTTACTGGGTGAGTTTATTTTTAAATCAAATAATATTACTGAGTAAAATACATAAAATTGTTACTTTGACTTCATGAATATTATTTTCCATAATTGTTGGTTACCATTGACAGACATATCTTTGATCTTGGAATCAACATTTATGTATGATAAAAGTGATGCGTAATTTGACGAATGGTATATGCTGTATATTAGATGTGAGCTATACAGATTACTACTCAAAAACATAAGAGCCATTACAACAAACAAACCAGCATTCTACGTCGGCTTTCATCATCTGCATCATAATTTTACCATTAGACTGTTTATCGAAAAGTAAACTGACGAGCAGTGGAATACCTTCAAATATTGTATAAAATATTGTTATGGTGCTAAAAAGTTGGTTCAAAGTGTAAAACTTTAAAATTACTTACTGCAAGCATGTAAATGTGTAACATAAACTGTATTTCCAGGACATATACATCTTCCAGCTCCAGGATGACATACACTTAAATCCACATGTACGCAGTCTGAATCGACTCGGCATGGAAGATCAGTTAGAACTTAACATGAATAAAAATAAAACGAAGTCTGTCAAACAAAACTGATTCATGACATTTTCATACAAAAACGAAGAAAAAACAATTAGTTGGCCTGGTACTGTAGTACATGTTTGACTACTTTATAAGTGAATTCGTACATCAGAATCCAAATTTTAATACAAAAATTTAATCAGTATTTATAAATCATTCAATAAAATTAATACACAAGCTGTCAAGATACAATTCTGAAATACTCAGAAATAGTTCATTATGTGATTAACAGGGACACAAGAATTGCATACTTCCTTTTAGAACACTAAGCTAACCAAATGTTCAAAGTTGAGAACATCATCTTGTCTAGTCTTCAACACAGAAGACTTCGGAGTAAAATTTTTGTTTGAATGACTCAATGTCACAAAATATTCTAGAGTATCAATTATCTCTAATTATTAAAGATCTATTTATTAGGAAATAATATTGTGTGATCAATTCCATTTACTTTAGTGTTTAAGGTTAGGCTGGATGTCCACTTCTTTAAACGATTAACTTGGCTTCGTCGTTTCTAGGACTCGTCAGCTGGATATACCTACATTCCAGAGTTGATGTTTACTTCTATGATCTAAAGAAAATTAAGGTCATTCTCTTGCTGGATTAATAAAGTACAGCGTTTCATAAATTACGTTTCTTTGTTAAAATTTAAGACATTTTTTATTCGTTTAAAAGTCCCTATAATAATAAAGAAGGATATATCAATGAACAATATTCTTTCCAATAAATCCTCTTCATGTTCTACAATTATATATCAAAGTCAATAATCCGAAAAGCGGCCAAGTTTATGAAAATCATTGTTATGTCTAACAATTATGACTTTTAGCATGAAAAATTTGACACTGACGAAATGTTATTAAAAGGATTTGAAATAAAGTTATTTCCACAAGTCACTTCTGGCGAATATGGATTTCCCACAAACTTACCTGTTCATTAGGGTCATTAACTTATAACTGTAAAGTATTCTTCGTCTGTGTTTGACGAATATCCTACAATCACTTTCATTTTTAATTGTTTCTAATATAATCTCGAATTTACCATTTTGAATTGGCTTTCATGAAGTAGAATAACTCATTGTTGTAACTTCTCTTTGGAACAGATCATTTAAATAAACGTTCCAATATTAACAGACAGTCGATCTGTTCCCTGATAGCTGATTTGTGGAATATTTCAGAAAATGTTATCAACATCTTGAATCAAAATATTGTAGAACTGTTTGTATAATCACAAATATAAAAATCTTTGATGAAAAGATGGGTCATATCAATAAAGGTCGCTTGATTATTACTATAGAAACGAATACTCAGTTTAACAGAAAATAAATATTTCAAAAACATAGACATTTAGAAACGACAATGAAGACACTTGATCAAATAAACTTACGTGGTCGACAGACGATTTCATTATTTTCTCTGATTGCCACAAAGCCTAGCCGACAAAAGCATTCATTTTTAATCTTATTACAAATACTGTTCCGTATATGAGATTCACAGTAATCATCTGAGTGACTTTGGCAGTTGCCTAGAAATGAAAGATGATCACTTGTACAATAGGTAACGGTAAAAAGTATTATTATTATGTTGTAGTAGTAGTACAGAGACCTGTTTAAGACTGGCATAGATATTTTTTGATCGATTTTCAGCTGTATCCTATGTTAGAAATCTGAAGTACAAAACCGTGGAGAAGTGGTAAGCAGTATTTTTTTTATTTTGTGGTATATGTATGTATACAGTGGCGAATTAAGTTTCGAATAAAACGACACTGAAATTTTTGCCCTTTTTATATTTAGAAAATAAAAAGCGCATATTGACATTCAAGTAAACTACAAACCTTATTTACTCACAAAAATAATTGCCTGAATATTTCAGCAATCATTTTTACTATCTTCCCCAATAGTTTAGCAAGTGCACCACCTATTATTTTATGCCTTGTAAGTCATACTTTAATATGCAAATATGTAATTGTGTATATGGTTGAATATAATATATAATTGGGTACTAATTACTCGAGGTTATCATCCATATCTGTAAACTCAAAAGAGCGAATGCTTTACGACTTTCTCTCTTTGTTTAGCAATCCGTTCTTTTGGTACTTCTCTCTGTTTGTTGCATATGTATGCATAGGTTAAATAACTTTAATCATTATTACTACTATTAATTATGATTACAATAACTAACATTACTGGAACGGATAGTATTGATAGGTTTATTAACTTTTGTATTGCTTTTCTCATTCTTCAAAAAGAAACTGATTTTTCTTTTGAAATAAAGCATTATGCGTTTATGAGAACGAAAACAAAAAGTTCGATGACTAGGAAACAACCTAGATGACATATCGCTTTTGATAATATTGAATAACGCAAAAGAAAACATTTCAGTATCCTTTTAGAAAATATTCTTGTTTTATGAATATTGTTTGTTATACAGTTCATGAACATACATAAATTCTCATTTTTCGCTGATAAATATTAAAACCTTGGTGGCTTTAAAGTTTCCAGTGTATGTTGAAATTAATTAAACAAAAACTAGATAGGCGGTTCGCGGAAACTTGTTCCGTTTTCGTCGCTGAATTCAACCAGCTAGAGAATCAATAAAAAAAAAACAAGTAGCACTGAAAAATTGATTTTTCTCAACTTAAACGACACAGCTAAAATATATTTCTCAGTTGTTTAATTTCAAAAGATTACGTTGATCTGAGTCGGGTTTAACCTAACCAGAAAATCGGATGTAAACAACATACATCTAACAAGGGCTAGAAAATTGATATACATCCTACATTAAGTTATAAATGGTCAATTAACATTTAAAATCTCTACATAAGCTAACGTCGTGAATTATCATATTTTTCATAGACATAAAAAAATGCTATAATATCTAATTTATGAAAGATTACAATAAGCTGTTAAGTATGTCCTGTTTAGATGCTCATTAAGTATGAAATTCTAGAGATCTATTTTCCCATCCTTTAAACTCGAAATCGGATTAGCTATTATTCAATTATGGGAGTCACGAGATGTCAGCACATACCGGACCAACATATTAGTGTTCCTATTCCTTTATATGATTGTAAAAAGTGTTAATAGTAAGAAAGTAGAAATGTGGTTTTAAAATAGTGTTGACCAAAAGTTATCCATATTTTAAAAAAGTTGTCATTTTTTTCGCTAGTCGACTAAGATTAAAACGCAAACTACTAAATTCAGGGTTAATCAGTCATTATATGGGGCCTGAAGGAAGCTAGACTCATCTTTAAAGATGCTTGAAATTTTTTGTAACGATCCTGGACTTGGGATCATGATTTTTTCATGGACATATAATTGATAAAAAAAGTTACGAAAAACATATATACTGATCTAAGTAAAGATCTCGCAAAACTTGCCTATATCAAGGTTTTGTTGTTTCTGAATTAAATGAACTTGCTGGATTATAGTATTCTCATCGTTATCAGTAATCCATGAAGTAGCGGGTATAATCAAAGCTGAATGTTCAATATCGGACTTCAGAACGATGATACAAAGAAGTAAAACATATACGTATACCAATTCCAAAGTTAACATTTTAACAGTTAACGTAAATATTTATAGAAGAAAATTTTCATTTGCAGATAATTGGGATAATTAAAAAAAGATAAAATTCTGTTTGGTGTATACAATGATAAACAGATTGGACAAAAATGAGAAGTATGCACTCTGCGTTTAAGCTTTTATGCAAAACAAATAATGAATTATAATGGTAAGTCCCAATTAAACTAATAAAATGTGTTTAAAAGAAATGGTAGATGAAACAGAAAAAAAAAGTGAATTATTAACCTAGTATGAACTTGCCAACAACCAGGACATTTATCGGTAATCCACCATATGTTGTATACATGATACATTTTCTCAACACGTAATTTATGACGAATATATCAGCGTTATCTATACTTACATAGATATCCCTAATACAAAAACATATCAAAATGAAATCGTTATGGATACGTGAGTTAAATAGGGAGGGGGGTTGTGACCTGTTCTTTGCCTACAACAATATAAAATTGTTTTGTAAGACAATATAAAAAGTTAATAATATCACCTCATACATTCTATAACAGAGTTTATCTATTTGTTTGTAATTGAGTTATTCCGCAATGATTGACTGATGATAAAAGCTTAGGCATTGTGCCCATATTTGTCGGGTAAAAGTTTAGATGTTTATCAGAAAAATACATTATCTCCAAATAAATGATGGAATGGAGATGTGTTCAATGCCTGGATTCTAGTTATAACTCTAAATATTCATTAAAATTTTGAACCGATTTAAGTTCGAACATCACTGAAAACCTAAAAGCATTGGATGGCCATTTCATACTGATACAGGACTCCTTAATAGTGCCAATCCACGATCTTGAATGTGGGAATCGAACATTTCTGGTTAGCGTTTTTTTAGCGAGTTGGTTTCCTACTAGATGGGGTCGCTAATCCCATCCCCAACCCTCCTCCTTTACCCGGGCTTGGGACCGGCAGTAACTCTAGAAGAGCTACAGGTGGAGTTGGGAGTCGAACATAGGACCTTTGATCTCTCTCCCGAACACTTGACCTCTAGACCATTGAGCTAGCATCTAACGGCATTGATGTATAACCTCAATCAGTTCATGACATTGAGTGACTATCTCTCATCGTCTTCATTGGGTAACTACCTCACACCCGACACGGTTTATCTCTAAACATTAACTTAATAATAGTCAGATTACTTCAACTAGTTCAATGTAGCAAATTAATTTCTTGGTAAACGAGTTTGTCGTTGGAAATACAAGAGAACTTTGCTCATAAAACAATCATATACCGAAACTTTCAAGCTGATGGCTAAACTGGTTACAATTAAGCTACCAAACTAAAACTCTAATAGCTGCTATTTTTATATTCCATATCTAGGCTGTATCACGTCGTCAAATCTCTATGCGATAAGTTTCTTCTTATCCCTAACTCAATTCATTTGATTAATGGTAAGAGCTGGTTGACTGATTTATTAAATAACTTGTGAACAATTAAGTCTCTTTCATTTATGTGGCAGTTGCGGATAGCACTTAGCAACTAAATTACAACCAGGGCGTGGATATCAGCTTCTTTTCATTGCTCAGTTGGTAGATTACTGGTTGTGTAACGTAAACTTACTATCCTTTAACACTTCACACGTCCATGTTTACGTTTATTTTCAATCAACCTGCTTCGGTTTGGGCACCTGGGCAGTATCACAGCCCTCACAAATATCGAATGAGATTTGTGTGGCGCATATGTATTTGGTGCCCCCTTGTACCAATATCTATGTGTTAAAATAAATAATAAATAAAGAAATTATATGGACATCTTTCTGGTCGTTTTATCTGTACATGTATTGATTTACAAACACTACGGGAAATTCATAGTTCCATTAACAGTAATGTCTAATTCGCATGACACTTTATCAACTACTGGATTGTAAAGTTGGCTTCACTTTTAATAGTGGCCTAAGTGAAATCGGTGAATTCTGTTACATTCCACGAGTGATTCGTTGGCTGATTATACTTGGATCATAGTGCGAATGTTAATTTCCAGACTGGAACCACAATGTTCATCGTTCTAAACATTAATATGTTATTTATAAGGCTAATGAGTCACTAAAAACACCGACTTGCTAAACGCGTATGTTATTTCCTACAAATCGTAAGCGTATTCAGGAATATGATCTGTTTCAGTTTGGATATCAAATCTTTAAAATTATTCTATGACATAACAAAGCATGCTTGCTTGATGACACTGTTAATTGCTATTTAAAATACAATCGACTTGTTAAAAGACCCCATATTACCAACAGAATTACGAAATCCAGTCATGAACATCAAAACTAATAATACAAATCTTCCAGACAAATAATATTGAATTTTCAACCTTTGTTGTGATATCCGAAAACTGCTTACAAGAAACAATGCTTAAAGTCAGATGATCGATTTGAATTACTCTTTCAGTTTATTTGACAGACGAATGAGTTCGGGAAAGACCAACAATATTCGAATAGGGTGAAATACAAGAATTAAGGCAAAATAATTTGAATTCATAATATTTCGTGGTCTCTCGTCAGCTGCATTCAATATTCAACATCAGTATCTAACAATATTTACTCTCGACATACAAGTGAGACTTTACTGTGACATATTTCACAGAAACTGTGCAACGATCTTATTCGAAGATTATCCTTTATACTTTATGGAGTTACTCCACATAGTAAAATGAAGTTTGTTAAAATTTAATATCTTGTAAGAACTTATTACGCATTGAGCTTCGATAATGCTATTTATCATGCGATTAAGCTTCTTTAGATAAAATGTCTATATACAAAGAATTTATCTCCATGAGAATGTTACTCACTCTAATCTTTTTGTGTAGACATAAACAACTCAGATTTAAACGTTTAAATTAAGCATATTTGGTAGTCCTGTGAACTCTGATTTTAACTCGATAGTGAATGGAACATCATAAAATGTGACGAATATTTTTAAGAAAATCGAAAAATTGCCGATTCGGTGAGGTAGTTATTAGATGTTTGGATGGTACTTGTAGACAAACGTTTAGGTTAACAATTCTTAACTATTGAAAGTAGCTTTGGTGAAATTTTAGTGACCGAAATCGACCATCTGTTTGTAAATAAATCTGTTAACCGATTTGTAAAATCATGCTGATACCTGGGTAAGTAATCCTTTGCAGTAAGCTTGACAGAAGTAAATAATAATTAAGTCAACATAATTAGCTTAAAAGTATTAAACTTGGAGACATATTTAATAGCTCCAAGTCTATCATAAAAGACGATTTGCTACATTGTCAAAGACAGTTATTTTTATGAATGTCAGTCCAAAAGATAAATGTACTAGCAGGAATTATAAAGAAGCTGGAATCTTCATTTTTGATAAATAACTGCTTTTTTGTTGAGCACTTTATGATTTAAACATACCGACAAATGATTTTTGAGGCAGTCTTGTGTTTTGGTCAACCATGACGCCCATCTACAAGTTTACTTGTTGCCGTGCACATTAGTTACTCAGGTAGTACACAGAATGTATTTCGTAGTTTCTAGCACTATCTTATTATAACATCATGTAAAGATTGTAACTTAACCAACAGAATAGCACGTGAAATGGCTTTTAATTTGTATTAATTAAGGTATTTAATTGGATGCTTGCTTATTAATTTTTTTAATACAGTTGCCCAATTAGGCATCTGCCAAACGATAAGCTCAAGCGACTGCCAAAGATATGGCTTCCTTTTCTAAGAAATGAAGTACTCCATGAATGGGAATGATGGCCTCTTTTTCACTAATCTATTCGGTTAGACTCATGTATAGAAAGCTTGTTTCACAATCGGATACAGCACAAGACAACAATTTCTCTCAAATCAAATGTATTAAAACGATGAAAGGATATATTTATTTCGCCTTGGAAAACTTGTCCTACATAGCAATAACTGTTGCAATTTATTTCTGGAAACAGTAGCTAGTAACTAGTTTTCCTGATAAAAATACCCAATATTCATTTTTGAAAATTCGAAATCTACGACTCCAAACAAATTTGCCTGTATCGTTTTATTTTCTTCTTACAGTTACTACTTCTTTGTCACAAATAATCGATTACTACGTCCTCAAGATCTGAATTATTTGCATTTGGCTTCCTAAATATTTCGTCCCCTGCTTCAAACTTAATAACGGCTATTTAACAGAGTGCTCATTTCCTAATTTGAAAACATGTAACTATTAATTCTTTTTGATAACCATCATAGTTATTCTCCTCTCACTATATTTAAATTTGTAAAAAGCCAAATATTTAATCCATTGCAATACTTATTCTTACAGATATATAGAGATGATTTAAAAGAGGAAAATCCTCTATTATTTGTGAGATGATTCTTGAAAAAGCCTGTAATTGATTACAAACTGCGGAAAAAAATGTTAATCACAATCTCTGTTTCCTGAGCTCTTCAACGCCAAACATATACAGTTTATTGAATCTTCAGAAATTGACGATTTTAAAATCTATCTATTCCTATATTCTGAAAAAGGAAACTTTAAAAAACATCCGAAAAATCCATGTCAGTCGACACTAGAAACTAGACATATTATTACTAGGCATATTATTATTAAGTAATTAGTAGTTTCACTGAGATCTGTCTCAATTTGTTCAATCCAAGGAAATTCATTAGTCAACCCATAATAAATTTTAACTGAACTTTGTTGGGATGTAATTTGATTGCAGGCAGTCGACAGGAAACCTTATACCCAGGTTTCTTGCAAGTCGACACTCGTTAGCTAGGCGTACCCATAGTGTCTAGGGAACTGATGATCCTTAATGGACTCGATCTCGTTTCACTTGGCTTCAGAGTCTGGATAGTTACCATTCAAATGTTCGGACAGAGATACTTACAATTGTTTCATCACTGAGCAGTGATAAAACCAGGTCTGTTTGGCCATTCATAGCCCGAATATTTCAGTGGTAACTACGCAAACTCTGAGGTTAAGTGAAACGGGATTGAATTCACTAAAGATCACCAGTTTTCTCAGCATTATAGGTACGTCATGTTAACAAGTGCCAACTAGCACGAAACTTGGGTCTAGAGTCCCCTGTTGACTACCTACAACCACTTAACATCCCAAGTTCGTGCGATATTAAGTCACTTAGATCAGTGAATATATTGCAACTTGATTGGTCGGATTCGGTCAGCATTAATAAAAGGGCTAGACAAATATGACAGTGGTTACTACTCGGTGGTCAATCACTTGTTCAACCGAACTAGTAATGTAACAATAAAGACTCTCTATCTAGCCCCCAACAAATGAGAAAACTAACGAAAGCAGAATTTTCGTTACTACTTTACTCGAGAACGAACGATGGATATGTGCGTATACATACAGAACTTCTCGGGGTCCACTTGAAAATCAGCCAGTGAAGGAGAACCGTGGTATCAAACTCAATTGCGCGCCCCTTCTAGAAAATCTCACTCCTTTCAATAAACAACTTATTATTGATTACAAAGGTATTATTACTCGTGAAATGCAAGAATAAATTTCACTGAAAACTGCTTTAAATAAAATACAAACAAATTTATGATTACTATTATTTTACAAACTGTATTTTATAGAGGAAAAATCTGGTAGCAATGAAATTTTGTGTATACGATTAAAGTTTTGTGCTAAAAATGAGTTTTCCGAAAATAACGGAGACTCCACAATGATGACTTCAGATTGTTATGAAAATAGGGGTCACAAAACTAATCCTTAGTTAACAAACAAATATCCTTCATCGGCATCAGTATCAGCATAGAAAACATTATCCGTATGCATTAAAAACTGTAGAAAAAAATAAAAAACAATAATAAAACATAATTGTTGCACTGAAGAAATACTTGTGCTATTTTTCCAAAACGAAACAGGTATTGTATAATGTTCAAGGAACAAAATTAAATCACTACGTATGCTTTAAATGACATTCACTTATGGTTATGAGTCTATAGGGGCCGGTTCTATGTCAAGCACACGTAAGTTATTCTAGCCTCCGGACAGATCAATCTATGCGTTCTTCTCTAGCCATATTTTTACCATATCACTTACTGGCTTATCAACCTTGGTTGTTTTTATGTAAGCGTATGTTTGCACATATCTGTAACTTATTTTCGTCTGACTATAAATATTGATTTACGCTCGGTTAGGTCGAGTTGGCTCACACGCCTCCTCCATTGTGTGTCATCTAGTTTCGCTTCTCTCTCTTCTCTTCATTTCCTTCGCTCCGTCTCTGATTGTTTGTTCTGATCAACGATTGTACAAAATACACGTATTCGAAACTGCATTCTCGTATTTGACTTATTTAATTCTGTTATTCATTAACGCGAGTTAAGTCGATAATTAATATACGAGGACTGACGATGTGTATAAATCGATAACGATAGTCCCACGCTTTAAATGGATTCATATAAAGGGCCACTAAAAGTCGCTGAAATTGTGCATTCGCAACAAACAGAGATTATTGCAAATGCTTGAGTCAAATCTAGTTAGTGGAAGCAAATAGGATATGAACAACAATGATAAGTTTTATCATTTTAGGGGTTGTGGAGATTGTTAAGTTTTTGATTGAGATCATGAACCGATTGATGTTAGACCACCATTGAAAACCTGGAAGCACTGGACGGCCGTTTCGTCCTACTGTGAGACTCCTCAGCAGTTCGCATCCATGATCCCGCTCGCGGGACTCGAACCCAAGGCCTTCAGACTCGCGCACGAACGCTTAACCTACTGGACCACTGAGCCGGCATCCAGTGGTGTTAATGTATAACCTCAACCGATCCACGAAATCGCGCGACTATCTTCCATTGTACTGAGGTAGACACCTGTTTCTACCCGACATGGATTAGCTCCAGCAATCGGTCCATGATCTCAATCAAAGTAATAAGTTTATACTTTCAATTACAAATTGTATTCACCGTGCACAACCTCTCGGAACGAAAGGACCAAAGAGAGAGAGAAATCCAAAGAATATTTTTCAAAACGGACAGCCAGAGATATATACAATCTCGATTTTTATCTTAATGAATAAAATATCCATTCATCAATTTGCCACTGGACTGGATAGACACAAGTTGTCATGAAGAAAACGTTACAACATTAATCATCTAAAGAGTAACTGCATCTATTTATTAACATGGTTTATATAAAATTGTAAACAGTGAAAATCAAAACTGTTAAGTGTTCAACTCTAGGAACTGTGAGTTAGACACAACTGAAGACACATAGTAAACAAACATATGTATAAGTACAGCAACGATTTCAAGTATGATAAGACTTTGAAGTACAGAAGGGTTGGCTTTATTTCTGTTCAGGAAATAAATTATGAGATATGTCAACATTTAAAATCTCAGAATTTACCATATTTAAAATTTGCCATAAAAATATACCTGGCTTAGTTTCTTGATGAGTTTCTATGAGATCAATATCTTCAAGGTCGTTATCAATGTGATATTTCAACATTTCTAATCCCTCTGTGAAAAACTGATGAAAAAGAATTTATTTAGTGTTGAACTTTTAAGTTGTGTTTATCTAGCTACATGAATTGAATAAAACTAGGCACTGATTTATCCTATAAATTTATATTTTTCAGAAACTGATTTTCATCGAACCTTGGGATCCGTAAATTTTGAATTTAGAATAGTACTAAAACGAGCCGAACTGATAAGTGTTTTGATACAACAATATGATTTACAAATCACATTGAAATTAATTTAATCAAAAACGAAAGATCAATGCATGTTTTTTAAACATAAATAACTGGCCAACCAGATGTAAGTTCATATACCAGCTCAAGAGAGTTATAGTTAAAAACTTGTTAATATAACGTCAGAAGATCAAACGTCTGGAGGTCCTGGGGGGTGAGAAGCATCATTATAGGGAATAGATCTCCATGGGAACCCTGAACAAGATTCAAGGAAGAATACGAAGACAGAAATTAACAACAGTCGAACAAGAACAGAGAAAGTTAAGGCATAAGCTCAATACACAGAAACAAGCAAGGAAGTGATGGGGAGCATTAGAGCTGACAAACAGAGATACGTGGAAGAGCTGGCAACGATAGCGGAAAAAGCTGCAAGAAAAGGAAATATGAAGCAACTATCTGACGCGACGAAGAAACTAGCATGGAAATATGGTAAACCAGAGAGATCAGTGATGGACAAAGAATTCAAGCCAATCACTGAGATTGCAGAACACCGTAACATGTATGTATAACACAATGAAAGGCCTTTCAATAAACCAGTCCCACTGAACCCACAAAACATTGTGGCAACACACACAAACATTCCAATGGATGTCACTCCACCAACGATCGACGAAATCAGGATGACCATCAGACAAATCAAGAAATGGAAATCACCAGAACCGGGAAATATACCAGCTGAAGCAATGAAGTCGGACATAGAAGTAACTCCAAGTATGCTCCACGTTCTATTCAAGAAGATTTGGGACGAGGAACAAGTGCCGACAGACTAGATAGAAGTATTCCTTATCAAGATGCCAAAGAAAGGAGATGTGAGCATCAGCCTCAGAAATAGAAAATGTTTATCGTGATGGTTTACCAAATCTCAATCCGCTGTCAAAAATAATTTCAAAGTGAGCTATATTTAGCAAATCGCCTAAATCATTAAAATCTCTTTACTCATTAGTGATGAATCACACAACAACGACAAAATCTGACAACCCCAGTTAGCCATGCCAACCTGAACCATCTCACTTGTTAAAATTCCAAAGTCAAACAAGATTCATTATGCAGATAGACACGTTGTTTTACATAAATGAATTGTCTTAAAATGAAAATCTAAGACACCCATTAATTCATCATAAATAAAAAGTCAAGTTATTAAGCTAACTATTAATCCTGATAAACTGTTGACGGATAAAGTAAATTAAGAAAATTATCCAGTAATCGATGCTTTTGGAAGTCCATCAATTATTTTCGGTTCAGAATACAACTAATTATTTTCAAATAAATAAAAAGTGAAACAGTCATATTTTATTTTCACTTTCGTAAACTTAAAGCAGTGATGTAAAGTAGTTGATAAAACACTTTACATTAAAATGGTAGCGAACATCTCAGCGTGTTATGTGAATTTCTGTAGTATGTTTTGGACCAAAATTTTTCAAATGTGCGTAGATGATGGAGGGAGGGTAATACTATTCCACATAAGATGAAATTTTACTGCTTGAGTCAGTGAGCTGTAGCTATTGTTGGAAAAACTAGTAAGAAAAATATGCATTTTCTTGCTCATCTAGTGTCATTCAAAGTTTAATAAATAAATCTATTAACTGTACTCACTATATCTTCACTTATCATGTCGTGATACGTAGCCAAGGGCAAACATTCACCAACTCTATTGGTAGCTCCATCAACTGAACAAATTCGGTTCAACAATACGTCACAAACTAAAGCTAATTGACAAACAAAACAAATAGTAGACTTATAATGCATTCTACATTTAAACACACCAGTGTTCCAAATGTTTCATTTTCATATTTTGGCAGCAAATTCAAACAACATCATTCGTAGTCTCGTAGAATACACTTGAAGAATCAAATTTACGATGTTGGAAAGTATTTGTATGCATGTGGAACACATAATAAAGCTATCCAGAATTATTTCATGTAAAATTAAGTGTAACAGTCACTGTTTCGCAGAATGACTGAAATTATCGTCTCTGCGACAATGTTTTCTCACATTAAACAGTTGATTAGGCAAGGATTTACAAAGACCTCTATTTCCAGAATATAAGGTTTGTTATCTTAAATGTTGTTCATCATTTTGACATGTGATCAATTAAATTAATAGTGAGAAAATTTTTCTAGCTGCGTTCTCTCTAATAAATTTAAAAGCGGTTTACTAGACAACCTATTAATCTCAATTAGGGTCACAAAAACGACATTTAAGAAAATTACGTAATTGAATTGAGGAGACGCTCTCATGAAAACTGTTTATATTTGTTTAAGAAGACCATTACTTAAGAAACAAAGTTAGACTTGATCAAATTCTTACCCGATAAATATGAAATTCCATCTGACTAGTATTAACGTCAGCCTGATAAATATCTCTATCTTGTGCCAGTTATAAACTAATTCCCGTTACATATCCTCCGAACAGTTTTAAAGGTTAGTGAGAAGAATATTGAGTGTGGTAGGTCCCTAAATAGTATTCATATGGCCCATCTAGACAAAAGATGCCAGTAATTTAAGACACATTCACTAGTTGAAAATTATCTACACCTTGTTAAACACAGGTCTATGGAATCTATTTCATTAATATGGATTTTTAAGCAACTTAGAATATTCTTGTGAAAACATTCATTGTGAAATAATCATTAAATGTTCTAAGCTTGAGAGATATAGGCTCAACTCGCAGTGTAATATTAAAATAAAATGATGTCCATAAAATATAACAACTATATGTAATTACAAATATCTCAATTGGTTGTAACGCTGACATGAACTTCAGCTAGCAAAATTTATTCAAAGACATTCACAATCATAAACGATAAAACCACAACCTCGAATTATACTTAACTTTTTAATAGTTTCTCTTCAATCGAATTGTTTGTATATGTACCAGTAATTGGACCAGGGATTGAAAGTGATAATAATGAGTCAATAGCCATTGAAACGAGTACATCACCAGGCTTTTTTCTTGCTACCTTATCGATCTGTAATAAGTTTTTACCAGTATTTACGTGATAATATCAATTTATCAATTAATATAGTTAAAAGAACATTGCGTCACACATCATACAATTGTCATGTCTTACATAGTTTTATTTTTTAATTTTACATAATTATCCGAAGGAAAAACTGGCGGTACAAAATCTATTTAAGGAAACAAAGTCCATTCATACCTATGTAAAATTTTAACTCATTCTAACAACAATGGTGGGATGGATATAGTGCTTGTAATGTCTTCATTATGGAACCTACCTGAGAGCCGATAAACGCTGTAGACTAGGTTGTGTACAAATTTTGGTTGGAGTTAAGTAAGTTAATGATTAAAATAATGAAGTTATAGTTTAGTAATTGGTTTTGTCATAAATGACATACAAAAAATATGTCTTACTTGACACAACTAATAAAGATTTAAATATATAAACGCCATTAGTAATGCACAATTTACAAGCAAAAACAATACCTCTTTAATGTAGTTAACAATATATAAATGTTTTAAACCAAAGGTATATCTTAGATTGATCAAGGGTTCTAAATTGGGGGAACGAGATTTTCAACAAACATGTATATTATGGCAACACAATACTTATTTGGAGAATTTCAAGTCTTCATGCTTGATACCATAATAATGTACCCCGTTAATGATCAACGGTGTTATTAAGGAACTCATATATATTTAGTAAATACATTTACTATCGCCGAATGTCATATATATTTAGATTAATTCATATTCTTATACTACGTGTTTTTTCTTGCTTATTGATCGAAAAACAGCTGAAGTATAAAAAAAATCCAGTCGAACACATACAAAATTTCTAGATTGACATCATGAATGGATCAATGATGGTCTATCATTAATCCATTCATGACATCAAATTAAACTCAACAATCTCCACAACCCTATACTGATAAAAACCAAATTGTTTGGAAATATTTCTAAAGGAAAATGTAGGTTTATTGGATCACTTTAACGATTTCTTTTAATTAGGGGGATCCTACCTTCATTTGGATTTCACATGTTGCTAGCAGGATAAAGATTAGATTAAAACATGTTCCATGCAGGATTGTGTTGGGGCAAGCTGATTGGTTATTTCTTAATCAATTAACACTGGATGATGCTTTCAGAAGACTCTAGAATCTCCTTACGTAAAAATTATAAATATACTAACGTTTTTTTTATTGTGATCCCTACGTCCATCCAACCTTGTCATCTTGGAATATAAAAGATATCATAACAGTGGCGACGAAAGAAAAGAGAAAACCATAACCATAATAGTGCACGAAACGACATGTTTACTTATTTACTGAAATTCAATGAAAAGTGTCAGTGAACGTCAATGACAGATGTAACTGATTTGTACTACCTGTTGTGACTCCTATATTATTTTTGGCGTTTGAATAAATTGAATTGAGATTGAATAAGAAGAATCTCAGGAAAGCATATAAACTAAGACGGTAATGCTAGTATAGAATTCTCGGCATTCAATCTTTTTATAATACAACCAAGCAAACACATTATTTTTCTTCTAAAAACAATGAAATTTTATTTGACTACTGAATTACCATTTTTAGCCGATTCATCCGCAAGATTTTATACTGAAGATTATATTCATTGGTAGTCAACTCTTTGATAGTATCACTTATTGTTTGTTCAAAAATAATGATAAAAACGAATTCTTCTCCCATTGTAAACCTAATCTGTAACATAAAAATATTCATCGGAATCTTATTTAAAGTAAAATGGGACATGGGATTTAAACTAAGGCATGACAGGGCTTACCAACTATAGTGATGCTATCGAGATTAGTCCAACGGAAAACTGGCATGGTTTTAGTTGAAACGACAATGTAGTTGATTTCCTCTTTCCGAAGTGTTTCAAAGTATAGTACTTTAATGTATTTCTTTCACTCCCTATCTCATTATCAGGTAAACTAATAATTTACCCTTATAAAAGATATGTTAAATAAAAGTGTCTTTCAAATTCTGGAGAACTCAGGTCTTCCTTGGTGTTAGTTCTCTGCTTACCAATGATCACTACATCTGTGACTATAATAACCCACACAACGCAGGAGCCAGTTTGCGAAATAATCGTCTGAAAGGGCTATTATCACTTCGGATTTTCAACACCTGATTGAGTTTCAACAATTAAGTATACAGTCAAAGGGAAGACATAGCTATGGGACCCCGTTAGGACCACTAATACCACAGTGTTTCACGTCTATGCTTGAAGCCAAACAACTTAGTTTGGTCATCAAACAATTTAGATTTTACGGAAAGACATATGGATAACACGCTCGCCACTTGCGATGAAAATGTTCACTTAAATCCCATTCTATGTTCTTTCCATATCTACCTACCTGACCAAAATTCCAATATACTTAAAAATCATTTACCTTCAGTAATTGAGAGGAAGATCTATGCAACAAAACTGCCATTAAAGTTAAGAACTGAAATCTGCTTTCCATATCTGTGAAGCATAGACTCTCTAGTCTAGTCATCTCTCAATCCACCTAATAGCCTACCTACTCCTGTGAACTGAGACACATAGGGCGTATCTAGTGATCGCTTTAACATGGATACGAAAACATTTCCCAGTAGAGTGAGAGAGGCTGTTAGGAATTCCATCACGAAACATTTATTCAACTCTAATCACTCAACTAATTCACATGTTGACTTTAAAGATCTTTATAGAATACGACAAAATATACCAAGATTTCTTCCCATTCGACTCTTCAAAATAGCAGAGGCTATTCCTAGCCGTGAAATGACACCTTGTCTACATGCTCAAAAAATATTCGCTTATCATTATCTTTACGATGGCCTCAGTATACCATCATTTTATTTCCATTTCTTCGAGTGAACATTTGAAAATAAGCAATAAAACAGTGACAACCATAACACCGACAGTAACACGTAGCTCAACAAGATAATCGAATGTTGGAAAACACAGGAAATAAAAATTGTAGGTCGACAGCACACACGTAGGTTTGAAAAACGGTGAATGACTTTAATTAACATCGTTTGGTTTTCAGCTTCTGTAATCCTGTAAAATATACAAAGGACGTCTACAGTTGATGGAAAATATTTGTAGCTCAGTATGAGGATTTCGCAATTGCTGTGGTTTAGTTGTTTAGTCTTCATTGTTCTTCAGAACAAAATCATTACTCACTTCAAAGAGAAGTGAGCTACTAGAATTTCTCCGCAAATGACTGACAGCTTATTGTGTTGACCTGGAATTTGGTTGATTGTCATCCAAAACCGTGTGGTCGTTGTTTTTTGTTATTTTCTCTCCCGACCTACACCCTAAACTTGCATTTTTTAAATACATTTTCTTACTGATTGACAGGTATAACTGCTTCCGATGTGCCTATTAACTGACGCCCAATTAGAATCCCAGACGTCTAAAAACTCTGGCTTGTTGTGTGTTTTATTTGTTTAATATTTCAGCGTTTCCAACTCAAAACCACGGTTGTCCACATGTGTTGATATATGCGAAGCTATGTTATGTCGTCTAACAACTAACTGTTGTGCATGTAAACGTGAACGATGAAGTCAGGACTCAGGTCGAGAGAGAAAACAACCGAAACAAATGTAAAAACAACGACCAAATGGTTTTGGATGACAATCAACCGAATTCCAGGTCAACGCAATAAGCTGTTAGTCATTTGCGAAGAAGTTCTAGTAGTTCACTTCTCTTTGAAGTGAGTAATGACGATGTTGTTCAGACGAACAATGAAGGCTAAACAACCAAACAATCCAACTCAGAGACCACAACACTTCTAACAAAGTCTACGGCCTTTTTTCACATGATCCGAATAATCATGGATCGATGTCGTGGTCTGACCTTTTACTTCTATAAGGATAGGACATTGTAACAGACTATTTAAATACATATGATACATATCGTTGTAACACCGGCTAAATATATACGTACATGTTCATTAGATGAGTCGCTTTGATTATTTATTGTTTTCTTCCTGATGTATTTAACACTTTTGATCTAATCGAATGAAATTACTAGAATTATCTGTTGTAACTGAGGTCATTTTATAAATGTGGTTACTTCGCCATTACTAGTGACTCAATTAAACTGATAGATTATGCAGAAATCAAGTTGAATACCAGAAGAAAAATACAATTAACTTACAATTCTTGGTACCGTAAACTTTATTAGTCCTAGTAAAATACTCTCAAGAATGTCAAATGCTAAGGCATTTTTAACAGCTCTATCTGCCGAAATCGTGCACCAAATCTTTCCCCGGTTATTTAATTTCTCACCAAACTTTTGTACAATTGGTTGGTGTAAATCACTTGTTTGACTGAATTCTTCAGGTTGAATAACTTTACTTAATTCAGACATGATTATTTTGGGTGTAATACGTTGAGTGGTACCATTTTTTGATTCCTGTGTTTTGTTTAAAGACATGAAAGAATAATATAAACAGTATCCATCCCTTTTTTCAAAATAAGATTTTCAGGGATAATTTCTCACTAATAATTCCCTTATACTTATCATCTATCTGTCGCCAAGTAAACCAACGAACTCTAATAAACAATAGACTCCATCTAGTCTATCACACATTTAAAGATATTCAGTGGTATATATCTATGAGTATACATATTTACATTTATGCTTTATTGCAAAATTATTGTTAATAGACGGATTAATTAAGTATCATTGACTCCTCACACTGAAACGTTAAAAGTGAGGAAATCTAGTTCACGCTAAACAAAGATAAAACGTTTGAGTTACGACTACTGACATTCAAAAGGATATTTCATGCACTGATAGATTATATGCATATACACTACTAGTGAGACGAGTTGAATTCGGTTTGAAAATTGCCAAAGAACGACTTATAGAACTTTAGAAGTAACAAACAACTATAGCTTTAAATTAATCTCGTTTGTTTGAATCTTCTCATTGATTTTTAGGACTGCAATTGATCAGTCTCTTATTGGCGTATGTTCATCTCGGAGTGAACACCAACTCTGGGATGCAAGTGAATCCAGCTGACGAGTCCCAAGTAGAACGAAACGCGCGTCCTAAGTCCCACTGCCAGTCAATATCCATCTTTGCTAACTATAGCTTTGTTATAATAATTTTGGTAATGCTGTTCTATAACTATTTTAATAATTAAACTGATTTCAAAGATTTTTCAGCTATTCTGTTCTATTTATTTGTCTACAAAAATGTGGACCATAGATTTCTCATCGGTACTTTTGTTGTTCTACCTTCTTTAAACATAATTTAGCATTGTGCCAGGAATTATATATTATTTTACAAACCAAATATGAGATAACAGCTAGCGATTAGGTTTAATCCAGCAGATAGTTCATTAATTAAGAAATAACATTTCGCCTAATCCTTTAGGTATTTTTTGCGTATTTGTGGAATTCAAACATTGTTTTAAATATTTTTCAACATAATTAAGACAATCAAATATGTATTTGGTCCATTAAAATAGTCCAGCTATTACTTCTTTAAAAGCGATAGCATCTAAATTTGAAAGATTAGAATTAATATCTTGATAAAGTTCCTTTATAGAATCCAGAAGCAGTTGCGGAACTAATTCAGCTTTCATAGTATTACTGATAAGTTCAAATCCATATTGTAAAATTGCATTTTTTCCCAAATCGGTATTCCATTGTTCTAAACCCTTCGAAATTTCAGGACCTGTAAAAAGCAACTCAGTGACATAACAATAAAAATCCCTAGATTTACCTGTTGTCATGTAGGGTTCTTTAGTACTGATTATCAACCTAATTTGAAGTGTTTGCAGTTTGTGACAGTAATATGATGTTTATATATTCCTATTCGGCGAATGAAGTGTCCAGGATTATTCTAAAAGTTTTGAAGTATGAATGAGGAATAATTTTTTAAATAGTACATGAATATCCTACCGATAAGAAAATACTTATTTAAGTGTATTATATCTTTGTAAATCTCTTAAATATATTACGTTCAACCAAGATAAGTAAGATAGCACATCTAAAATACCGTGTCCATATACGCGTTTTCAATTTTCAGTGTAATTTGAAAACTTAACATGTTAACAAATGCCCATTTAAAGCTACGCACAAGCCAAAAGAAACGTCCACATCAATAAATTCAGCTTGTATGGAGCTCAGTGTCAACGGGGTAGACATTATATTCAGGTTCGTTCTCAAAATCCCACACCACCACTGAATACGTCGCTCTTTTACGAAAGTATGATTTTCTAGTTACCAAACGATTGCATCATTTTATCCATCAGCAAAACCATTCACCAGACGACTCAAGTTAACATTCTCACCCACCAAATGATAATAAAAATTAGACCACATATTGAAATCGAGATTTCAAATTCTGAAGCGAAGATATTACTGTTTATTTGTGTCTAACGCGTCTTAGTAGTAATATCAAGGTCACGGTGTTTTCAAAAATTTCCAGTCTGGTAGTTTTTTACGCTCATCTCGTTTGCTTTTGTCAGTACATTCGTACTTTTCGTAAAATTGATTATGTTTAATTTTAGAGTTTAGATCAATCATTTTTTTCATAAGTTTATTACAAATGATATGTTAATTTAGTCTCACCACAAAGAACCCTAAAATCACTTGAGTTTGTCTAATTATTAAGTTGCACTGCAAATAAGATCAGACAATTGTTTGGTAAAATCTGCAAAGTTTACCATGAACTACATCTACTTCAGATTAGTGAATGGCAATATTTAGTTTACCCTAATGAATTTAACGTCAAATCAGAAAACACAATTATTTAACACTATGTAGTCATGCATCACAGGTTTATTAATATTATATTAAAGTCGGAGTTTCGACAGTAACATGTTTACCAAATAAAATTTTCGTTAAACACAGAGATGAGCAATATTGTTTTCAATTAGATCTTCATCAAGCTCTATTTCCATTTACGGCAAAATTTATACACCCATACGAAGAATAGATCAGTCAAGGAAATTTATGTTAGAGACGATAACGAGGTGGATTACACAACTGCTCATAATTAAAAAAAGTAAAATTGATGATAGAATTGTAAGTACACTAGCAATGGTAAAGATTAACCGAAGTAGCATAAATGAATACCCCAACCTGAGAAAATAAACTCATCAAAAGGATTGTCACGAAAATTATGTAATCAAAAGTGAGTAATCAGCCTAATTAAATAATTAATAAGTAAGAGATACAAAATCATGAGGAAATTGGAGCAAAATGTATGTAGAATTATTATAATCCTCTATTAAGTTTCCTACAACCAAGGAAGGAACATGAGTACTATAAATATTTAATAAATGATGGAATGGAGTTACTAGCTCACATTTCCATAGTTTCTTACTAGTGTAAAAATGGGATTAAAACACACTGAGAGAATGCGAAGGTATGTGATGGATCGCTTAATATGATTGGGTCTTATATGTCACATGAAAATGATGATCAAGTATGGTTAAACAGAACTGTCCATTGACGGTTTCGTCCATTTCCAACTGAAAACAATATTTCCCGCTTGTATTAATTGTTTTGATCTACACAATGAGAGATTTTAGTTTAGTTTTAAACACAAAAATTTATTTATTCGGAAGTGCTCTCAGATTGAACAAGACGAGGAAACATTTTTAACTTTGCTTTCAAATTATATCAAGACTATTGTTGCTTTATTTGTGACCGTTCATTCCTTGAATCACTTATAAACTGCTCTTGTTGATAGAATTTCCATTTTAATCTGCCGCTAGACTGTCGCCTCATTCGGTTTATCCTAAACCTTCAAACAGTATTGTGTTAACGAACGACATTATGGATGTTTTGGGATATACCAGCATTTAAGTGTTACCATGCAGATATATGGACGTCATATTCAAGTAAGTTTTCCGGCCATTGTGTAATCTGTTCTTAGTAATGAAGTGTTTTAGCTATCTCAACACATTATTATTCATCCGAGTAAAACGTACTTTATGTTGAGAACGATGAGCATGTCAGACCACTGCCAACATCCATCTTCGAGAGATACCTCACTCTTGTTTGGAATAACCACACCTCCCATAAGCAGATTGTGCTATAAACCGAAACCAATGGACTAATAGTCTTCGGAGGTGTCCAAGATCAACCAACTTACATTATAAACGGACTCCGGACATGCAACCATAAACATCTGACCCAAAGATTGTTTAGGCTATAGAAATGTTAATGAGATCAGTCATTCTTCTCAACGAGCACATTCCTATTAAGGTAGTTAGACATCAAGTACAATCTTTCAAAATATTTTAAGAAATTCTCAACAACTAGTTGTTAAATTCAGGAATTTTGGGCGTTGGTTAGTCTTATGGCACAACCCACACATGGGGAGCATCAATGTTTTGGCTACACAAGCAAATGTATATTTCATAGAAACACAGGACCTCACTAGTTTATAAGCAAGTAAACAGCATTTTGTTGGCAAGAAACTAATGAAAATTTCTACGATAAGTCACTATTTGAGCACCAAAGCTGTCTAAATACTCTAAATAAGATTAATACTACATCAGCATCTATGCAAACACAATTTATTAGGATGTATATATATATATATATATATATATATATATTGGAGAAGAGTAGATATTTTGAAGAAGGACCAGGTGTCAATTTCGAGACATTTTCCCTCCGTAGGGGAATTGCAAGGAAAACTTGTACTATCTCCCCGTGCTGGGAAAAGAGCGAAAATTTAACGCATATTCGTCTATATTTACGCTATATTTTTATATCTTCTTCAGAATTTCTGTCTTGATTTCCAACTTCTATATGATATATAATATAACTTCAACTTATATAAGTTGAAATGAATACTTTTTATGAGATAAGCATAAATCCTTCGCTTAACTATCATTCAACTAACTGAAATTTTCCAAATAAATTTACTGGTCCAACTAAACAATAATCCGCCAGTTTTTAAATTAAATTACTTCGTATCTTACCGTTGTCAACTTATTTAAAATATTGCCGGTTACTAGAACACCAAATTTCAAGTATCCAATATATTTGTGGCGAGCTTACATAAACTGATTGGTTTCTTTGGGCTCGCTTCTTCCCATGTCTCTAGCAATCTACGGTATGCGACGGTTTAGCCTTTCCAGTCAGTCAGGCAGTTATTGGTGGGTTTACATACCTTTAGGTTCAAACCTGTGTATCGAGGACCGAAGGCCACTGGCCTGTGTTAGTTCTCTCCCAGTAAACTTCTATGGGTTTATCGTCCTCTTTTGAATGAGCTAACTGAAGGGACGGTAAAAAGTCTCGAGAACCGATAACTTGGTATGAAATCCTTAATGCCATGGATATGTTGTTCTTTCTTGTCTCTTGAACCCGCTTGCTGTGTCCTCTGAGTTGGCCTGATCTGGTGCAAAGAAAGAGAAAAAATACGTTCGGTTGAAAATCACTCCTTGGTATCCCGCACATCAAAGTCGGACTACGTTTTAATTTGCGGTAGGACAGGGTAAAGAGGTCTAGCTTCTCGATCCGCTCTGTGAATAGTATAGCTCGGAGTTCTGAAGTTGCACAGGTAAATGCCCTCCGCACTTTTTCCAACACATCCGAGTAGCCGTTTAAATAGGAACTTGAAGCCTGAACACAGCCGTCAAGTTTGGATCCCACTAAGTTTGTGTATACTGTAGTAAATATATTGATATGTAACTTGGTAAATGCCCGTCTTAAAGCCCTAACAGTAATTGCATGGCAGTGAGCCGTCGTCTTAAGGTAATGTCTAACCGTTACTCCAAGATACACACAAATACACAAAACAGATGTACCACTAAGACCTGTGATTGATTACATTAATTCATCAACTTATAATCTTTCTAGATACTTGGCCAAAATTCTTAAACCATATGAAAGCGTAATAAAATATGGAATAAAAAATTCTAATGATTTCAAAAATATTGTCAGTAATATTCGGATAGAAGAGGACGAAGTAACGGCAAGTTTTGATGTTTGCTCATTGTTCACTAATGTTACTGCTAAAAAAGCTTTAGATATTGTGCATAACATGTTAGATTCTGACACTGAACTCAAACAGCGTTGCCTTCTAGACCCCTCAGATATTATTAGAGCGTTGGAGCTTTGCTTACATTCGACGGTTTTCATTTTTCGAGGAGTTCTGTACAGACAAACAGAAGGTGTGGCTATGGGATCACCTGTCTCTCCAATTGTGGCTAATTTATTCATGCATTCATTGGAAACAATTGCTATCTCAATGTGTTCCATTCCAACAAAAATTTGGGTAAGATACGTAGATGATACCTTTGTCATTATAAAACGAGATGGTTTAGACGAACTATTTCAACGGTTCAACAGCTTAGATGACAAAATCAAGTTTACTAAAGAGTTGGAATCGCCTGAACGCAGATTACCTTTTCTAGACTGCCTGGTTGAAAGGAAGGATAATGATTGTTTAAAAATTAATATATTCCGAAAGCCTACATATTCAGGGAAATTTTTAGATTTTAAGCCTGCGCATCCACACTCGACCAAAGTGACAGTGGCCAAAAAACTTGTCACTGAACCGAATGATATAAAAATGGAAATGAATTTAGTTGTATCCACGCTATTAATGAATAATTATCCGAAAGGTTTTATTAAAAGAATAATTAAGAATAAAGAACGGAATGATATTTTTAAAAACAGAGTTAAGCAAGATTGGATGAACACAGTAGTGATCCCATATCGTAAAGGTATCTCAGAAGACATCAGAAGGATTTTAACTCGTCAAAAA